AACACACACACACACACACACACACACACACACACACACACACACACACACACACACACACACACACACACACACACACACACACACACACAACACACACACACACACACACCACACACACACACACACACACACACACACACACAACACACACACACACACACACACACACACACACACACACACACACACACACACACACACACACACACACACACACACACACACACACCACACACACACACCACACACACACACACACACACACACACACACACACCACACACACACACACACACACACACACACACACACCCCCTAAGGCGGTTACAAATATAACCTTTTGTATCTATCTTCGTAAATAGAACAGTTTCAGAGAGTGGACTCTTAACTAAGAGGATTGTTTATGTGTTTATGTTGATGCCTGCGAGTTCACATGAAGGTTTTGTGTCGTACCATCTGGTCGGCCAGCAGCAGAACGGTCTTCAGGCTGAACTTCCGGGAGCAAAAGTTGAAAAGGTCCTCCAGACTGGGGCCGAGCAGCTCCATCACCATCACGTTGTAGTCTCCCTCTGCACCACACCACTTTATCGATGGGATACCCACTAGAATGCAAACAAACACAGTCATCATAAAGCTTGTATTATTAACTCCACCAAGCATAACATTAGCATGTTTCCCAGGTCGGTCAAAGCCACATTCATCTCACCTCCTCCTTGCATCATCTTGTAGAACTTGCTCTCAATGTGCAGCTGGGGGTGTTTGGTCTTCACACATTCCAGCTTGATGGCTACCTCCTCCCCTGTGGCGATGTTGGCACCTGGGGACACACAAAAGTACAATTGTTGCTTAAAGGAGGCGTTTCAATTCGACTGTAGCAGGAAGAATGAAGGATTAATGTGACGGAAAATGTGTTTAGGTGCCAATAAGAAGGGACAGTAAAGGTACAGCAGCAGAAGCTAATGTGGAAAGACCCTTAACAGAGGGGACACATGGAAAGCTGTGTGCAAAAACAAACTTACCAAGGTAAATGTCGCCAAAGGAGCCACTCCCTATCTTCCGCCCGAGCCGGTACTTGTTCCCCACTCTCAGCTCCATGTTTGCGAGTTGTCACTGTCACCAACAGAAAAAAGGAGATGATTCTAAGCAGGAAAAGGACACATGACACCATGCTCGCTTTTCTGGGCGGCGCAACTTTTCTCTCTCTCTCTCTCTCCGCTCACTGGGAAACATTATACAGCTACTGTACAGTTCAACAGAATATAACACAGAGTGGTAGAATGAAGGGAAGCTGTCCTCAAGGGTCGGTCAGCTGCTCACATGATCATCGGTCAATCCCAGACACACTGAGCTGCCCACATGCTAGAGTGAGTAGCCGGAGCAGAGCTTGTTGATCAGCCAACAGCTGCCTGACCTCAAGAAACACACAATAGAGTGGTGCAGCGATGACGTACTTTTGCAGGCTGACCCGGAAGTTAACATAGCAAGGGCTTCCTCAACAATAAGCAATGGGATTTGAGAGGATTGCAAACACACGTTCATTTCAGCAGAATAATCTCAACATATTGACACCACTTTTATCATTTAGAAGTGCATTCCAGAAGTAGAAAGCTAACGTCACGCTATAAAGGAAAGGCATCACTGTCACATGGCTTCACGTCACCACCGCTAAGCTAAGAAGGCGGCTAACGTTCGGAGTGAGAGCACGTCTAATTTATTCACTGGTTAGGAACCGCAGGTTTTTAAAGACACATTGAAGCTCCAGGCATTCTCGCCAGAGGGGTATTTACTTATGTAGTAGAATAAAACGTGAAATCTCTTCACTTATGCTAACCAGAGCTTAATTCAGGTCTCTAACCAAAAACACATTCCAAACGAAGTAGAAAAACTCATTACTGTGTTTCAGGACTCATTCCTACAACACTGTTAAATGAGTAGTGTAGCTGGCAGGAAGAGGTGGTTGCAGTGAGATCAGCAAAAAGGAGAGCAGTGACTGGAAGGAAAATACATCAAAACCAGGACTACATAAAACTGCCGGTTTCCACTTGGAACAGAATCAAATGTGAGTACTGGGACTTGGCACACGAGGAAAGGAAGTGCATCTTCTGAGCTGAACTGCACGTGATGCCGGAGCATCATTTATTTAGCACACTCTCCTACCACGCCACATTGTGCAGCCACTGCAAAAGCAAGACTAAGCTCTCTCCACTGTTCCGTACTAGCAGTGCCAAGGGAGGCATGAGCGCCGGCTGGCTCTATCTGTGTCAAGGCCCTCAGACGATTCTGTGCACTGAACTTCAGAAAGCAAAGTGCTGCAGAGGACGTATCAACGCGGAGCATTATTCCTCAAAGAGATTTCAGTTGTTGACAGCAGTTTGGGAACAATGTTAACAAATCGATGGAAACAGTGGACCCTTGTTCCAAATCACTGCTTCATATTCACATATCACCTCGAGACATGTGATGCAACATATGAAATTGACCTCATTGAAACATATTAATGAATCCTTTAGCGTCTCCTATAGAGAAGTTTCATGACAACTCGGAAGAAAAAAACTGTCTAAGGAAAGCTCCGTTTCGTGGACATGCTAATTCGAGCCATCGATTCAGTCCTCTTTATCTAGTTTATTTGATCAGAGCCACCTTTATTCTTTTATTAATAAGTAACTTTACTTGATTGTAAGTTGGAGAAAAAAAATTAGCACCAGTTCAGTAGTAAATCTACTCATTTGGCCTATAGTCAAACATTGCAGAAAATCTTCATATTCCAGAGGCTCAATACAACATTTTAAGAAAAATGACTTCAATGGACGATAATGAAAACAGTTCATTGATTGACTTATTGCCGCATCTCTGACACCTTGGGAAATGAGTCAAACTCAAAACAAATTGCACAGCCCTCAGTTTAATGAGACATTTCACCTGAACCGAACATATGGTAAGATGTAGGCCGGAGACCTTGTCAGCTCCGGCTGATGAGAGGACATCCTGCCATGGTGGATGTGATCGAGGCAGATGGATTTGAGTTAATAAAGGGTTAGGTTTCATTACACCAAGTGGGTGTCTCATGTGCTGCAGCCAGGGACCTGATTTAGGGCGCAACATTAATCACAAGGCTACGGAGTAAGTGCTATTGATTTATTGCTTGTTACTGGAGCAGTGACACAATTTTAAACTGCACAGTGTTTTACACTGCATATTAAAGACTGGGTCCATGTGGTTTCGACTGGAATAATACTCATGATTGTTCTAAAAAGCTTAGCCGGAGAGAACGTGGTTTTACCAAGACATGCATAGGGAAAAACTGTGCAACGTGAAGAATGCATTATTCGATGTTTCAATGATGAAATGTGATGTGAAGCAAGTGGAATAGTCACATTGCAGCTGGAAATGCACCATGTGCCTTTAATGTAGAGAGGGTCTACATGACAGTGGACAGATGAGCATGCTAGCATTCATCTTCTGGTTACAGAGGGGGGTCTTTAGAGGTTGTCCTGAAGAGGGGCTACAATAAGGTTAAACCCTCTATACACCACCCCAAATGTGAAATAACTTGCCTTTAACTACAATGTAATCTCTCACACAGTTAAGACACAATAAGTCTTTTTTAGCCCGCCTGTCATTTCCTGGTTAAATCTGACCGTTTTACTACTTTCATCAATCATACAATACATTCAAGGCCTTATGATATCCTCCACAGTGGGCATTTCAGCACATAAAACAGCTGATCACCACTTTCATTACATTTGGAATAGTTTAGTGAACTTTGTCACGCCTATGGGGTTCCCGGATTATTTTTTTTCCACTACAGGAAATGAATGAGTAACTCTAGATTACGTTCACCCATCAGATAGCACAGAACCACCAATCAACAACATGTTAATGTCATTGTCTATTCTTTGTATTTTCCCTGCAGCTATTTGTGTAAACCAGTAGTCTTTGTAGACATTGTTTTCAGCTTGAACGGGTGTACAATCAAATGTGGTGATGATTAATGTTTATGTGTTCATGTATGAGCAGGGACCACCAAAGTAAGGGGAAAGAAACTAACACGACAGGAGGGTTGAAGGAGAACACAAGAGTCAGAAACCAAAACACAGAGGATTTCGCAATCCCATGAAAAAGAGAGCACTGCTACGCCTCGCAGGGCAGCTGTCACTCAACAATCCGCTTGTGTGAAACTGACCCGACACTAAATACATCAATACAACTAACTTGCCAAATTAAGTTAAAACATACTGCAAATACACACATGTCACAAAGAATACACAATATAAATGGATACATTAGAATGTTCCATAAAACACCAATACACTACAGCACAGAAATATAGACATATACTACAGTAGCAGAAACATAAAGAAGTATATCAATTAAGTAAATTAAAGTAGCTCAAATTGTCAAGCAAGTCAGTTATGGTTTAATGTGGTCAATATTTTGCAACTACTAATATTGGCCACATTATTTAAACCAGCTTAGAAAGACAGACACTTTAAGTAGGTTAACGTTGGTGAAAATACGAACCTAATGTAACGAGAAGGACGCAAACTGCCGTTATAAACAATAGAAAAATAAGTAAAATAAGAAAACATCAACCGATAGCATTTAGCTAGTTCCCTGTTAGCCGCTAGGAGTAAGCTAGTGGAAATACGTTAACGGAACCGTGATACGCTAGTCACGGTGGTTACTATAGAAATAAAAAGACAAGCTGTAATCGTGTTTATATGTTATACTTTGTCACATTTGTACTTAAAAACCGCACCCATTTATGCTACGGGACAAGTAAGATACTAGCCATCCCTACTACTATCCCCCTCCCCCCCTCTTCTGTAAAGCCGTGAATACGAGCCTCTGATTCGGGCGATTCGGGCCGCTTTTCACCCCTGAATATCTCCGGTTCCCCGACCCGCAACTCACCCGATATTGGGTTCGTCCGAGAGCTGGTTCGGTGGATGTTCTGATCCGATGGTTGTCAGTGGGACAGAAGCCCGAGTAAAGGAGGATGGGAGTGGATTCTGGCGGATCTCATACCCCCAGCTTTGAGCTCTGTGGTCGGTTGCTCTCCCTGTTGATAGTCCCTGAGAAGCTCCAGCAGCCGTTGCTCTGTCTCCCCCTCCCGTTACTTAACACCGCGCGCGGTCACTACGCGATGATGTCATTCTGGGGATGTCAGGGCTCAGTCATTTATGAAAAAACGTCACAGCTAAATGCTCCTTCCTTTATACATGTTTACCATTCATTAATTATCCATTGATCTACTATTAGTCATCTTGAGTCATACTCGAGTTTGCAAGGTGAATCCTGTTGTGTATCATGCCAGATATCGCGATATTTCAGTAAAGGATATCCTCAATTCAGTCAGTGTTGAATTAATCTGTTACAAGTTAAAGTCCTGTATTGAGTTAAAATAGTTTTAAAATTAGAATCAACGTTTTCTTAGATTTCAAATTATATTTATACAACGTATATTTAGGAAGTGAAAGTTGTTTATTTCTACAGAAAGGACTATTTCAGCACTCAAAGTCCTATTTTCATCTATAAAATTACTTCATGCTTAGGCTATAGACAATAATTTTTAGAAAGAAAAAAAAAGCTATATCTGATTTTGCAAATTATTATTATATATTTCTAAGTATTAAATCAATGTAGTGGAATAAAAAGTACAATATTACCATATGTGTTGAAGTATAGAAGTCTATTAGAAATCACTGCATCAGAGGTCACTTATTTCATACAGTATGCAGTAGCTTACTGTAGAGTGACGTGGGTTTAAATAGGATTGGTTTGTGGATGGTAGTGAGAGGCCGACAGATGGACACACTGACTTGTTTTTCTGCCGATGAAAAGCCTTTAGGCCTTTCGCTGAACGAAAGGTCTTTGTCATATTCATCAGTGCAACATGCAGTGCTTAGTGTGCACATGTGCTCTATAGTGGAAGCCCTGGAAGAGGAACAAACAGAGGCGGGGAGGTTCACACTCGGATTGTTAAACATAGAAACTACCTGCAAAATACAATTATTTACATGTTCGATTCATCTGCTGTTTATATCTAGATTAAGATCAATTTTAATCTCCATAATTTCAGCAAAAGTTTTGCATTAAAAATTAGTTTAATTATAATAAATGATCAAAATAGATGATTATTTTTCTTTCAATCCATTTTTGGTTAAAGCTCTAGTACACTTGCTCAAAACAAGTTTTACTGAACAAAAGCATGTTGACAAAATAGTAAAAATAGTCCAAGTCCAGACCCCTAAATGTCTTGTTTTGTCAGTTTATTCGTTGATATAAGAAAAGCATGACATTTCCATGTCTAAAAAGGTTGAAACTGCATTTTCTGCCATCTAAAATGAGTTTAATGATACATTATGAAAGATATTGAGATATTATTTCCAGATTAAAATGAAAAAAGATTTCAATAGAATTGTAAAAATAAAAAAGGCCCATCCCATTCTCTTCAATGTGATGCCTTTAAATGTCCGATATGAAAAGAGAAAATAGAACTTATTTGAAGGGTTAAATATTTCTGCAATATATCCAACTTATTGGTAAAGCTCTACCTGTTTTAACCTCCATCCAGAAACCTATAAACTCTCAACAAAACGACCACGAGGACAGAATTAGAAGCCAATACTTTCATCTTTATTAATCTTGTTCTCATGTTTAAATAAATTTTTCCTTTGTAAAATCTCTTAACGAAAACACTGAACAGGAGTGTTAAAGCCTGTCTTAATTTAAAACGAATACACAACAACAGAACATTGAAAAACGTACGGTAACTCTTACTCTGCATCTGTAAACATCCCCCCCCCCCCCGCCCCCCGCCCTTTCCCTCCACACAGTTTGATAAGATTTGGCATGTCCATTTACTCAACGCGTATGCCTTCAGCTCTTTGTGTCATTAAAATTTTTCTTTTTTATTATTGCAGGTCGGACAATAAAAAAGACTAAAAAAAACAACTTCAAATGAGAGAAGAAAAAAAATTAAGCATTAGTGCCAATATTTCTTAACACACAGTCAGCAGTATACCGAATGCACTCAAAAACATTTTTGTATAGACCTTCTGTATAGTAAGCAGCCTTGCCCACATTATGACAGGCAGTAACATGCATACACACACACACACACACACACTATCCTCACATACACAACTGTGGTTTTAATCCACATACTTGGTCTCAGTCTCACTCATACTCGTGTCCATATAGTGTGTATACGACACATGGAGAAATGCGACATAGCCTCAAACTGCCAGCAATTTAACATTTATCACTGCAACAGTAACAAACATGTTTCAGAGAGAATAACAGAGAAAGAGTGCGTGAGATACAACAGTAGGAGGTCAGCATTTTGAAAACAGAACAATGACACATTTTCAATATTTTCACTGTTCAAAAAAAATAAATTGAAACCATACATACAAACAAAAGAAAAACATACACAGTAAGATACAGTTCTGTTTTCAATCAGAGCCGTTTGCATGTGGATTCGGTCTCCGCTTTTAAGGGGACGTGAATACAAAATGCACTTTAACCTCACATCATGTAGTAGTTTTTATACGATGAAGGTAATGCTGTTTACAGTGCCCATCTGTCTGAAGGCTCGTCTGTATTTGGTGTGTGCATGTGTATGTAAATCTGTTTTGAAAAGTCCCCTGTTTACTAAGCACATTGCAATCCAGTCAAGTCTTTGAGACTTCTCATTCTTTTTTCTTTTTTTTTTCAGGTTTCAAGTCTAAGCAGTTGAAATCTTCATCTGTGGAAAAAAAGGCTGTATACACATCTAACAGTCCCTGCATTTGTTTATATAATAGCTTAAGTCTGGCCACGAGAATGTGTGTAAGCATGTCTCACATTTCTGCTTGATGTGTGTGCACATTTATATGCATACCGTGTATATGTACGCACATGTGTGTATATGTGTATTACATTAATATGCATACCATGTGTGTGTGCTATAGTAAGTACATATGTATCCCAGTGTATTTTTTGTATCAGTGTGTCCAAACCTACACCTACAAATAGAGGGGGGGGGGGCTCGTCAGATGGAGTCAGCTCCTCCCCCCAGCAGGTCGCCAGGCAACAAGGCGGCAGGGCTGTCCATTTGGTGCCTTTCCTCCATTTGCGGGGCCCCCCACATGCTGCTGCTGCTGCTGCTGCTGCTGCTGGGGTATCCTGCAGTCATGCCCCCCCACAGCCCAGACCTGGCAGAGTCCACCCCCCCGACGCCTCCCCCTCCCTCCCCGTTGTGGCTCCACTGGGAGAAAACACCCAGCCCGGGCCCGGGTCCTTGGGCTGACGAAGCTTCTGATGAACTTGTACCGTCGAGACTCTGCCAAGCGGAGCCAGAGGACCTCCCCCCAGCCAGAGCCGCCGCTCCACCATCTCCTCCTCCTCCTCCTCCTCCACCACCATTCCCGTTTCCACCTGGAGTTGTGCCCGTCGCTGCCCGCTCACTCCCCGGGGAGCTGCCCCCCCCGCTGGCCGCTGCAGGGCCCGGTCCAGGAGAACCCTGCGACCCGCCTGGTGCCGCTGACCCTCCGGAGCCAGACCCCTCAGACCCTCCCGCCTGGGAATGTGCAAAATAGCGAGCAACTTCCTCCTCGCTCACAAACTCCGCCAGGATCGTGGTGTTGCCCAGGACACACCTGAGAGGGATTTCACAAGACAAGAGTGTTTAGATCTACAGCAGGGTGCATAAGATACGATAATACTTTATTGGTCAGATGAAGTCTGACATTTGACTTGCATCACAGCGAGGGCATAAGGTTAAATATATGTGACCTGTTCATCAAAACCAGACGGATGTCTACAATAAACCGTATTTAATTTAGTCTTAATTTACATTATTTCATTTCATATTCTGTTCTTGTACAGATCATATTCTATTGACATGTATATTGACTTTTTGCACTACTTATGTTGCATTGTTGGAGGAGCTCAGGTGAGAAGAATTCCATTGCCATTTCTACACTGTGGCTTTGTGCACATGACAATAAAACCTTTGGATGTTGAATGTCTCCAAATGTCACAGGTGTGTGAGACCTGTGTATATATTTGTATTTGGGATTGTGGGAAACAGTATTTCGATCTCTCTGTCTGTACACACAAACTGAAAGATTGACAATACAGTTGACTTTGAGCGAGGTTAACCTACATGTGCAGTGCACCCTGGGCCTTGGCTGCTTCCTGCCGGGTGCTGTAGCGAATCAGAGCGCTGCCATGTGTCAGGCCGAGGTGGAAGGTGAGCAGCGGGCCGTGCTGCATGCAGATCGTCCTCAGCGTGGAGCCGTCAATCTACACAAGAAAACAGGTCAGGTGTAAATGACTGTGCAACAAATAACCCAAGACATCAGTTATAGGGACAGAGAAAGGTCAGGGAATCTTGATACTAACTAAGCACTTATATACTAACTAGATGCTGGTCTGCTAACCGTCCCCACGCCTCGTCACCATGGGTGCTCGGGCTTTTAGCTGCACTGCTCCCAGACTCTGGAACCCCCTCCCCACGCACGTCCGACAGTCAGACACAATTACCATATTCAAATCCCAATTAAAAACCCACCTGTTCAAATCTGCCTACTCACTGTAGTGCTCCCCATTATATGTTTCTTTTGTGTCTACTTGACTGTCTCCTCCATGACTTCCTGTTTGTGTTTTTATCATGTTCTGTTGCCGATTAGTGTTTTATTTTTTAACAAATTGTACGGTGTCCTTGGGTGTCATGAAAGGCGCCTAAAATAAAATGTATTATTATTATTATTAACAAAGGACTGGCTTATCTAAAGCCAGTTCAGTAGCACTTGAAATGGTTTGGCTCTATGAAGCCTGATGAACTTATATGGTTCTGTTTTCTTCAAGGTTGTATCTTCTTGGTCGAATGCACTTATTGGAAGTCTCTTTGGATAAAAGCGTCAGCTAAATGCAATGTAATACAACATTGGTTATGTGAATAGAAAACTGTGCATTAATGAGTAATATAGTGAGACTGCACACTGACTTCATCAGTGCACATGAGCACTCTATTAGGCTAAATGGATTATGATGAAAAAATAACTAAAAACTGTCTAGACTTCTTCAAACATTTTCTTTCCCATGCTTTTCCCAGAGTAGTGTCATGCGAGTGTCATTTGTGTAAGCTCCAATTGATTCAACGGCTCATCCAACTTCACAATCCAATTACAACTGGGTCACGCATCATTCGCCTCATTTGCATAAGACAGGCTGAAGGGGAAGGCAGATGAATGGGGATCCGTCAGCAGCTGTTTTAGTTCAATTCTGCAACATCTCAGTTTATAGCAGTGGCGGAAAGTAACAAACTACATTTACTCAAGTACCATACTTAAGTAGTATTTAGTCACACTTGTGCTCTAAGTATTTACATTTAATGCTACTTTGTACTCCAGTGACCTCAAGGAAGAAAATATCTATCTTTTACTCTATTACACTATGAAAGAGAACCTTTTTCAAGAAGCATAATAGGGCCACTTTAATTCCCGTTTGAAATGTACAACGTTTGGATGGATGGTCTTTTAAGATTCAAGTAAAGAGTCTGAGTACTTCTTCCACCTCTGCTTCATAGACAGCAGAATGACTGGTGGTTTATTGAGTTCATCATTTACTTTACTAGAAGATTTCCATCTCTCTCACTTCATACCTGAGGGGTGAGGTTGCTCAGCAGCAACCAGCAGCTTCCTCTGGGGGTAACACCATCGCTCCAAGTGGAGCCTATAAAGGAAATAGAACAGGAGACAAGGATGGAACAATTAGCGTGGACTCTTTGAGAAACACAAAAGATAACATTTTTTACAAAAAGCTATAGAGGCGAAGTCCCTCCCTTTCCGGGGGACCTCCATGGGACCTTATTTTGGAAAAAGTCTGTATTGAAGTCAATGGAGAGAGAAAGATTATCTTTCGATCCCGTTTGAATTGTGCCACAAATTACACATATGATGTTTGTCAATTTAAAAGATACATTTTCATGTCAAAAAAAAAAAACTGTCGTAAAACTGTGAAGTAACACTTTGTTTGTGTGAAACGCTCAGTGAACTACATCTCCCGTCTCGCACCACACACCAAGACGGCCGTCACGTTGGAACATTTCACTTCTTTCTTTCAGAATGAGGAGGAAAGTATTAAAAGAGGTGAAAATCTCACCTCTGAGAGCTGTACATACACACAAGGCGAGTTAGTCGGTTCCGTGAGAGCCAGCATGCGGGACCGGGATTCTGGGATTTGTAGTCTTTCTAGTTGCGTATTTTTCATAGTCTTATATTTCAACAGTTTTACCACAAACTGACTTTTTTGACATGGAAATTATTTTTTTAAATTGACAAACATCATATGTGTAATTCGTGGCACAAACGGGATCGAAAGATAATCTTTCTCTCTCCATTGACTTCAATACATATACGAAATAAGGTCCCATGGGGCGGAAGTAGATGGGCGGGACTTCGCCTCTCTATGATGCTAGATTTACAGATACTGTTTGAAGATGTGTCATTGTATCACTTTCAAGAAGAGCTTCCTCTATAAGATACAGTGAAGCCATAAGTCCACAGATTGTACCTGGGCCATATCTCGACTCTTGATTAATCCCGCTCCCTGCCCAGTTGCGAGCCATCCGCGGGCCTCCGCTGCCCCACGGGGAGGGCGAGGCCTGCTTCTGATTGGCTAAGCCAGGAGGGGGGCGTGGCAGCTGTGAGCTGTTGCGATTGGTCTTCCACATCTTGTTTTGTCCGATGGGCTCTGGGGGCCAGCTGGGCTTGTACTCCGAGTACTTTCCTAAAGAGGAAATGGTGAGGTGGGAGAAAGAGAGGGGGGAAATGAGTTTGGACAAGCAGACCACAGAAATGTGAGAGGAGAGGGCGTAGTGCGGCGAAATCCTTTGGCATAGCTTTTACACAAGGAAAATACAGTGTAACAGAAACTTAGGAGGCATGAAGGAGAGTCAAAATGAATAATGCATACCTGTGCTGTGTGCATTGCTGAGGGGGCTGTCTGAGGCACTGTAGGGCCAGGCACCAGGTGAAGGCAGCGAGGTGTTGAGGGAGGGGTTTGGCCCTGCAAAACATTACAAGGAAAGTTAAACATCCTGTGAAAATAACAACGGCTGGACTGCAGATAACGCCTGTGAGGAATACTGTAACATTTATCCTTTCTGTCACTGGAGCATGCTTTCAACTAAAACAACATATTTGGCACACTCAGTGACATACCTATGTTGTCTCGCAGTAACTGGTGGTCAGAGTCATTGAGGCTCGGGGGTCCCGGGGAGCCTAGGACACTCCCGGGGGTCATGTAGGGGTCAGAGTCTGGGTCTCCACTGCTCTGGATTCCCTTCCAGGGTACACCGGGCTGGAACTCTGACAACAGAAACGTATTGGTTCAGACCTGGCATCAACATGTGTCCTGGATCCGATCACTAGTGGACGGCCAAGTACGTCAGATCACACCTGGCATTAAAATGCGGTCTCAAGTGACCGTTTGTGATCCGATCCTACTTCCCTGCTCTATGTGTAAATAAACACGTGCTTAGTGTCTTGACATCCTCCTTTAAGTCTAGAAGAGCCTGAGTTGACATTTTCAACTGACTTTTCCTTCTATAGAGAGGCGAAGTCCCTCCCTTTCCGGGGGAGCTCCATGGGACCTTATTTCGGAAAAAGTATGTATTGAAGTCAATGGAGAGAGAAAGATTATCTTTCGATCCCGTTTGAACTGTGCCACGAATTACACATATGATGTTTGTCAATTTAAAAGATCATTTTGCAAGTAAAAAAAAAACTGTGTCGTAAAACTGTGAAGTAACACTTTGTTTGTGTGAAACCGCTCAATGAACTACATCTCCCGTCTCGCACCACACACCAAGACGGCCGTCACGTTGAAACATTTCACTTCTCTCTTTCAGAATGAGGCGGAAAGTATTAAAAGAGGTGAAAATCACTCCAAGTCTGGGCACGTTGAGAGCTGTGCACACACACACAAGGGGAGTTAGTCGGTTCCGTGAGAGCCAACATGCGGGACCGGGATTCTGGGATTTGTAGTCTTTCTAGTTGCGTATTTTTCATAGTCTTATATTTCAACAGTTTTACGACAAACTGTGACTTTTGTGACATGGAAATTATTATTTAAGATTGACAAACATCATATGTGTAATTCGTGGCACAATTCAATCCATTGACTTCAATACATAATTTTTACGAAATAAGGTCCCATGGGGCGGAAGTAGATGGGCGGGACTTCGCCTCTCTATAATCCTATAAAGAGAAAGATATAATCACCTGGAGGCCAGCTGGATGTGGCAGGTTTATTCCCCATTTTACTCCCAGGGGTCCGGTGCCAGTTGTCTGCAGAGCCTTGAGGGGGAATCCCCATTCCATCGCTGCCCAGCATCTCATACTGGGAGTAAGGGGATCCTCCTCTCACCTTCATACCACTGGGTAAAGGACCTTGGGAACAGAACACGAGAGAGAAATAAGCATCAATTCACAATCTGAAACACGGTGAACTGAAGAGAATCCTTGCAGAACCGTCCAACATGCTAACAGCTAAACATCAACGCATATTTGTATAGTTGATAGGAGGATTAAATAGTTGAAAATAGTTATGTATTAAAAAAAGAAGGTACAATTTGAACCATTAAATCTGTAATTTACTACTGAGAATAAGGTGTTTAAATTGCATTTTTATATTCGAAATGTTGGACAACCCTCTGTTAACGAACCATTCTTGTGAAGAGCTGCGTCGGGGGGGGATGGAGCAGGCGAGTGTCCCTCCATCATCCATTTGTAGCGGGACTGCTGTCCTCCTGTGTCCTTCATCCCTCCCATCATGGGGCCGAGCTCCAGGCCTCCACCAGGGGCCAGGCCTCCACCAGCAGAAACACACATTTATGAGCCCGTTATATTCAAGTATTGTGAATTTCCCTTTTTTTGTTCAAAGTCACTGGGATTGAACCGAGGATTAAAGACTAGGGACCATTTAAAATTGGATTTAAAATGGTTTTAAATTAACTGTTGGAAGATGCCTAATTTTTGATAATGCATGTTCGTATTTGTCATACTGGTTATTAGCAATTATCAAGTTCAAAGTAATTTCTAATAACAAGTTCACATATTTAGTCGTACTTTTTGTAAATGAACAGTGGCCCTTTTGACTCACCAGAATACATCCCTTGTGTTTTGGCATGAAGATCTGATAAGGCGCCGCCCATTCCAGGGTGAGCAAGGGGGTCTACCATGGGTTGTTTGGATAGGCCTCCTCCCAGGTGAGAGGGGGACAGTTTGGAGCTTCCTCCTCCTGGAGCTGCTCCTCCGACTCCACCCTGCTGATGCTGTCTCTGCTGCTGCAAAATAGCCATGATCTTGGCCAGCTGAGAAGGACGAAAAATGTAATTAGAATATCTGCAAACTTTGTAGGCAGAGGGAAACACGTGTTATGGTTGTTCTGTTGACAGTTAGGATTCAACAAGGCCTAGCCCTATATTCTCTCATTAGCAAATAAGATACAGAGACATACACCGACGGCAGAAGCCCATGTTTAACAGTTTGGCTGGGCCATGTGACTTAGTACCGTTATTTAATGTTGTACAAAGTAGGGCTGTGCGATTATGGCAAAATCATAATCACGATTATTAAAAACGATTATCCATTTACTTTGAAAACATCCATTTATTGAAAAAAGATGTTTTGAACAGTATGTTTTTATCAGTTGATTACCCTGAATTTTAAGTATAATTCAACTGAAAAACCAATAAAATAAAAATATTACATTTTTTTATATTTTATAAAATAATAGTTTTATTTCGATTACGTTGTTTTCGTAAGCGTTGCAAGCCAAAATCGTAATCGAGATTCAAATACGATTAATTGCACAGCCCTAGTACAAAGACTGAAGCCCATCTTTAGTTTGTAAGGATTATATCAATGATTCAGACGATCTATTGTACCTTTAAAGTCATTCAGAGGGTGTTTCCTCTGCTCCTCTCTTCTCTGTGCTGCTGCTCAGAGAAGAGAGTAGCAAGGTCTTTTTTTTCTTATGGATTGGTAAATAAAATAAAACGTTCAAGGGAGGCTGTGGCGCAGTGGAATAGTTTGTTGGTGCTCGGATCAGGGGGCACAGGTTCAAACCCCACTGCAGTCAGTATGTCGCTGTGTCACTTCACCCCAAATTGCTTCTCAATCAATGTTTATTTATATAGCCCAATATCACAAATGTTACATTTGTCTCAGTGGACTTCACAGTTTGTACAGAATATCAGTATGACAATACGACACCCAATAGGACAATACTGTGGGGATACCGTCCACAGTATTGAGTATGTAAGTCGCTTTGGATAAAAGGCAAATGTGCCAAATCAGGCCCTTGGTGGATTTAATTTCGGCCCGCAGGATAATATCTAATTACTATTAGATCTGGCCCGCCGGTATATTGCACGCACACCTTCACTCCATCCTGAGGGTCTCCTCAGCTCAGAGCCTGAGCCCAAACATTGATGACCTTGCACCCAAGATGAGATGCCAAGTATCTGAACTAGCATTCACAGAGCAGCACACTGAGTTTAATGGATGCTTTCCTTCTGCACTTTCTCTCTCACGACAACAGGGCATGTTTGGTTTTCTCTTTGAGGGAAATAGTTTTGTTGAAGCTGTTGTTGGCCTGTGGGAAAATGTACTCCTAAGAAATGACTCTGGAAAAGCTGCAGATAGAGCCATAAGAAATGAATGCAACTGATTATTTAATGTTTAATGTTGTTTTTATAGGCAATAATTGAAGCTTTGTTAGTTCCAGGTTTAATATGTGCAATGAGTTCATTTCAATAAGTTCTGCAATAAACATTGAACCAGTCCGGCCCTCGACTAGCACCCATTTTTAAAATGTTGGCCGACTGTGTATTTGAGTTCGACACCCCTGAGCTAACAAGTCAAATGTAATGTTCAAAGACTTTGCCCTCCAGTATAATCTTTTATGATAACGCCACCACCAGTTTATACATATTCAAAGTTAGTGTGGTGAAAGGCAGTTCATTTTTTACAATAGCAATGTACCTGTATCCATGGCCAAAAAGGGGAAGCATTTACTGAAAAAAAACACGATATCGGCTGGAAGTAATGCAACCGGTGCATCCCTATATGACAGTGTATGATAGGGTGTAGAACATGGTGGTGCTCACCTGCTGGGGGTCAGGCTGCTGCCGGAGAGGCTGAGGCTGGGGCTGGGGGAACTTCCTCTGGTTCTGCAGGAGCTGCTGCTGCTGCTGCTGCTGCTGCTGTTGGAGCAGGAGCTGACAAGCCTGATGTTAGACATGTTTAGAGATGGAAGTAAACAAAGAGGCGCTCACACACACACACACTGAGTCATTAGAGGGTGGGTTTATTACAAGTGTGATGAATCATTACATGAATTAGCAATCTACGGATCTGTCACGTACCAGATGGAACTGCTGCATGTGGGGGTAAATGTTGCCGAGCATTGCTAGCTGCTGCGGGGAAATCTGAGGAGGGAACCCTCCTCCGCCAACACCGCCGACCCCTCCGACACTTCCCACGCCTCCGACCCCTCCTACTCCTCCAACCACTCCGCCCACGCTGCCACCAGGAGAGGGCATCTGCTTCAGCATGGGACCCGGCACCTGCAGGTCACAGGAAGGAAGTTCTTAATCTACAGACACTTGGTGGAGGATTTATGGGGACAATCTATTTATGGAGATCTGACCAAATGCCTTTTTATTTACAGTTAAAAATGTGTGAAAGTGGCATCAAAACTATGGACTGGAAGAAATAACCCTTCACACTGTACAGTCTAGGTGGAGATAAGTGCTCTGAACATTAATGATGTTCTACATATATACTTCTCTCGTATATATATATATATATTCATATTTTTCTAGTATTTATATGTGTTGATATGAATGATTTTGAAGTACTGCAAAATCACAGACCTGAGTTTTTTGTTATCTTTACATTATGTTAATGGCTTCTTTTTTGGAAGACTACTGGCTTGTTTAATAATGTCCTGATTTCAAATAAAAAAACATCTCACATAAAAATGAAAATAAGTTAATGTCTTGACACTGTGTTGATCACCACTTTATTGCCAGACAACAAATAGCAATGCGATCCGGCAGTAATACTGGCATTATTAAATTAGTAATGAAACCGTAACCGTGGCAGGAGTAAGGCTGAACGATTCATCGATTTGAAATCGATATCGCGATTTGAAATGACGCAATTATCAAATCGCAAAGATTTTTCCTTTTTTTGTTCTTCTTGTGTGTCAGTCATCCACACCAATCAGAAGTGCTGTGCTCCACATGTACCAGCCATTGTTAACCAATCAGAAGTGGCCCATGATAGAAGGTGATGGCAGGTGATTGGATAAATCTGTCTAAGTATTTTTGAAACACTTTTCCAAATGGCTTCCAATGGAGCTTTAGATGGTTTGGTGAAACCATCTGAGTCAGGTTAGCAATGCTCCATCACATGTTTCTATTACAGGGTGAATCTTAAACTGAAGCTCGACTTTAAAGCAACCCAACAGAAGTGTCATGTAACTTTAGTTCTTTCACTCGTAGCTCGGGCTGCGGGGGTGCTAGAGACGGGAGCACGTTGATGCGACCTTCCTAGCCGGAGATATGGCCGCATTTTACAATAAACTTCCGTTGGGTCGCTTAAAAACAAATATCGCAAATCGAATCGCAATATCTGTCAGAAAAATCCCAATTAGATTATTTCCCCAAATCGTGCAGCCCTAGGCAGGAGACCGAAATACATCTTTCATCACAACCAATAAAAGCAGAAACAACGAACCTGAGCAGACAGGTACTGATGAGGCACTTGAGCACGTAAACCCTGGGAGGGGTTCATGGGATGCATGCCAGGCTGGTGCATCCCTCGAGGTGGAGGCATCCCCCCGCCGCTGCCGACATATCCCCCATGGCCACCCATCTGGAGAGCAATGTAAACACAAAAATGAAGTAGCTTGTGTCATAGTAATGTCTTCACTTAAATCCTCCAGGTCCCACTCATATAGCACGCTTACCTTTTCACCATAGGGCCCCATGTCAACGGGACCCATGTCTTTGGAACTAGGCATGCGGTAGCCTCCTCCTCCTCTTCCTCCCCTCCGCATCTCTCCGTTGTAATCAGTCATTCCTCTCTTGTCTCCTTCCATCTTTTTGTCCAGACTTGGGTCATCACCCTGAGAAACAACAAAGTGTTAAACATACGGGCTCAGTGGGACAGAAACAGAGACCTTCACTGAAAATGGCTGACAGAAAATATATTTAGGTGAAATGTCAAGACAGAATTGCTGTTTTCAATAAATGGATGTATAAAAGGGTAAATACTATGCTCATTTTCAGGTTATTCATTGTATTTTAGCTTTCGACTAGTATACGTGTATTTGCATTGACTTATTGAGTCACCCTCTTTTTGAAACGGTGTGTTTTAGCACCAGTTTTTTTGTCTGCTCTGATTGGCTTGCTTGAAAAACGGTGTGCTGTTGATGGACTTGGCGCAAGGTTGAAAGTGCCCCATTGTTTGCTTTTGTGTTAGTATGCACTCAAAAATCACAAATGTTTTAGCACTAAAAAGTGAGTTCTTCATGATGAGTAAGATCTTTTTTTTCTAATCTTACCATAAGACCCATGTTTGAAAACTGACGTGACACTGGGTTCATCCAGCTGTCTCCTCCTCCGCTCTGTAGGAGAAAAGAAATTCACATGTTACTCTCAGTCAAAAAGGTATTATGTGAAACCTGTTTACTTTCTCCTGCGCTGACAAAACAATCTCCCAATCTGGGATGATTTAAGTATATCTAATCTAATCTGATGAAGATCACGTAAAGGTAGGGTAGGTAAGAATGGAGAAACCAGCTCGACGCTAGAATTTGAAAGTACTTCCTCACAGAGCCCCTCCTCCAACACACACGAACGCGCACATGACCAATGAGGGCACGAGATAAGTTTGTGCACAGATGGAAGGCTGACAGGCAGGTAGGCCATCCAGTTACTTTAGCCGGGCCGGCTCAGATGATTGGTCGTGCTTTTTACAGCACCACGGCTTCCACAGATGACATTTTTTTATGTATTTATTGTCAAAGCATTTAATGTATTCATTGCTATCGGGATGTTAAGAGCATTCCATGGAATATAACAAAAAGTGTTTCTGAAGTGAATTACATACCCCACCTTTAAAAAAAGGTAATCATATTTGTCCTAATACAATGAACCAAACCACGTAAACTTGTTTGTGCGTTTTCCCCTAAGTCTCCTTTTCCCTTACCTTCATGTTGCCCCTCTTTCCTCCGTGACTCTGACCCCAGCCTCCAGAGTTATAGGAGGAGTTGTTCCCTTGGGAGCCGCTGCTGTTCCAGACTCCTCCCCCTCCATCGTCCTCCTCGTCCCAGCTGGGGTGACGGGAAGCCGCAACAGAGCTCTCTCCCTTCCCTCCCCAGCCCTCCATGGACTTGTTGCCTGAGGAAAAACCAAATCAGATGGTAAAAACACTGTCGGCAGTCATTGTTAGATTGTGAAATGTTGTGGTTTTAAAATGCTGAAACCATGATTAATTTAAAAAAAAACTTGATTAATTTGAGCATCCCGTCTCAAAAAACGATAATGAGCTAAACTGATATATTGTAATATTTTGAATGACACGTTTTTTTCACTTCTTACCGGGTTTGCCAGGGTTAGGTGAAGGGTTCCCCCAGCCAGAAGATTTGCTGGGTTCCTCTGGTTCCCCCCAGCCCGACGATGCATCCGACGACTGACCCCAGGTATTCGCACCGTTATCCGCAGACTGTGAACCTCCTCCCCACATGCCTGGACCTGGGGAAATTAGAGACACATTAAGAATAGGGGTAAACGAGCTGACTTGAAAGCAAGCTAATGCTGTCTACTAACACTGTGCCGTGACTATGAAAGGGCTAGGTTTAAATCACGTTCAGCATTTGTGAGATAAAGAGACGTGTTGGTCAATCACCCTTATGTTGACTAGTTCTTTTTGTTATCAATCTTCCATCTATTAGCCATATAGTCATCTATTCAGTGTCGTTATTACGTTGCTTTTGACAACCAGAGAATGTTTTTTTTTACAAACAACTGTATGCAGAAGAAAGATAGATATTTAAATGTGTTCTTCTGATGATACTTTGGTTTTGGTTGGTAATAGTACATGTTGTTATTACCTGCTGCAGTATTGCCAGGGTTTACGTCCCTGCTGTGCTGCATCCCCTGCTGCCTTCTGGGTTGTGGTGGTTGTTGTTGTTGTGGTGGTGGTTGTTGTTGTTGTTGTTGTTGTTGTTGTTGGATGGATGGCGGGGGGGCCTGCTGACCAGGCGTAGCATTCTTTTTGTCCCACAGATTCACATTCTTGCTTTTGTAGCGGGTCGGGTCTCCCCAGGCTGACGTGCCGTCGTCGATCTCCATCTTGCGGCTGATTGACTGAGGGGAGGGCTCTTCCCAGCCGCTGGGCTCCAGGGAGTCCACCGCGGCTCCGGGGACTTCGGGAATCGGGCCGGATGTCCAGCCCGAACTTTGGTTCTGATTCTTGGGAGGTGGAGCTCCACCCCCGACGTTGGACCGGCTGTTCCACCCTCCTTGAGCGGGACCTCCTTGAGCGGGACCTCCGTGAGCGGGACCTCCTTGAGCGGGACCTCCTTGAGCGGGACCTCCTTGAGCGGGACCTCCTTGAGCGGGACCTCCTTGAGTGGGACCTCCTTGAGTGGGGACCTCCTTGAGCGGGAGCGGGACCTCCTTGAGCGGGACCTCCTTGAGCGGGACCTCCTTGAGCGGGACCTCCTTGAGCGGGACCTCCGTGAGCGGGACCTCCGTGAGCGGGACCTCCTTGTGGCGGCGGGCCCTGTGATTGGTGCTGCTGTTGATTTGGGGCTTTCATTGGTGCCACTTGGCTGTTTGGTATCTGTGCTGCTGCTGCTGCTGCTGCTGCTGCTGCTGCTGCTGCTGCTGCGTGGGCCTTGGAACTCCCCCAGTCCTGGTGAGATTTGCCTCCACCCACATCTCCCCCTCCTCCCCATCCTCCCCCCTGAGAATCATCTGAATGACCCCAGGAAGATCCCTTCTCGTCAGAGTGGTTTCCTCCTCTGCTTCGTCCATCTCCACCTCCAGGTATGGAGTCCCTCTGTCCCCGGTCTCCTCCCCAACCACCGGCTTCTCCTCTTCCACTGCCCTTCCATCCTGAGGTCCCTTTATCCTCTGGACCGTCTGTCCACCCTGTACCCTGTTCTCCATAGTCTCTCCAGTTCCCTCCTCCTCCTCGTCCTCTTCGTCCTTCTCCTTCTCCTCCTCTTCGTCCTTCTCCTCCTCCTCCTCGTCCTTCTCCTCCTCCTCGTCCTTCTCCTCCTCCTCGTCCTTCTCCTCCTCCTCCTCGTCCTTCTCCTCCTCCTCCTCCTCCTCGTCCTTCTCCTCCTCTGTGATCACCCCACTTCTTCTCTTCAGTCCCCCAACCTTTGCCCTGGCTCTCAGGTGGGGGCTCACCCCATCCTCCAGCTTCTTCTGGCGCTGCTGGCTTCCTCGCAGAGCTACCACCCATGTGAGGACCGGAGGTGGTCTGTGGAGCCCCCCCCTCCCAGCCGTCCCTCGCTCCGGAGCTGGATGGATCGTTAGTTATTGAACTGGTGTTAGACGGTTGGCTGCGACTAGTGGTGGTGTTCATGGTGGACGATGAGAATGCGGAGGAAGATGAAGAGCTTCTTTCGTTTCTGCTTCTTTGTCCCGTCGCGGGGTCCAGGTCCCAGGCCACATTCTGTTTGATCTGGGTTTGCCCCCACCCGGTGTTGGAAAGAATCCGGGGGTCCAGGTCAGATCGATTGAGCATGCACTGTAAGGCCACGTCAGCATTAGAGGTTCTCTCGGAGGACGGCTGTTCGGACGAGGCTTGCTCTTGTTTATGTCCGCTGTCGCTCCCTCCTCCACCACTTCCAGCTGTGGACCCTCCTCCGCTAGAGGATGAAGGCGCCCCAACTGCCGGGTCTCCCACCTGCCCTCCCCCCCACTCCCCATCCCCACTTTCCATCCCTTTCTGATTGTCCCAAGCTTTTGTCATAGTTGCCGACTTTGGTGAGGTGGAGTCCTTCAAAGCGCCGCCGCCGCTGCCTCCACTGCTGCTGCTGTTGCTGCTCCCGTCTCCTCCTCTTCCTATTGCTAAGTTGCTCGAACGTACACCTCCCGCCGTGCCCCCCCACTCCCCTTCTGAACTGCCTCCTTCCCACGCTCCCTGAGATACCGCTGTGGTATTTGAGCTACCATCGTTTCCCCTGCCCCACCCTCCCTTGTCACCCTGGCTTCCAAAGCCCCACACACTCCCGTCCTGCCCCTGAGCTCCACTTCCTCCTCCACTTCCTGCTCCACCTCCACTTCCTGCTCCACCCCACCCGTCTGCCTGCGAGCTCCCACCTGCACTCGGGTCAGAGGACACCGGAGGCATGGATCTCCAAGAGGAAGAGGCGGCAGAGGAGGAAGACAAAGCGCAGACACTTCCTTCTCCTTCTGCCCCTCCGCAGTCCCGCTCTTCGCCGCCGCCTTCTTGATTTGGTCCTCTTGAACCCGACTCCGGCCCGAGGTTTCCTAAGTGCTGCTGAGCTCCACCTACAGCTGTCTGTGTCTGATGGACGCTAGGCTGATTCACAGATGAAAGAGGGTGAGTGGTGATGAGTGCGGTGCTGGCAGAGAACGAGGAAGCCGGAGTAATGGACGAGTGTAGTGGAAGTCCGTCGCCAGCTGGAGGCGACGTCCCACCTGTCGCCAGGGCGGGCCAGGCGGAGGGGTTCACGTTGGGGTTGAAATTGGCACCAGGGACGCCGCTGTTGCCGCTGCTGCTGCCACCGCTGCTGCCACCTGCGGGGCTCTCCTGAGGCCCGGGAAGAATATGGGAGACTTTGGAATTGTAAAACGCTGCCGACCCGAGCCCCGTCTCCGCCTGAGAGGAGGAGGAAGAGCTCCACGCGCCGCCACTCGACTGAACACATTCATTAAGCGAGGAAGAAGAGGGGGAAAGAGGAGAAGAACAAGGCGAGGAAGGATTGTCCATGTTCCCTACTCCTCCTCCTGCTGCTGCTGCTGCTCCCTTCTGCTGGATGTTTCTCTCACTCCATGAGGCACTACTGTTGTTGTTGTTTCCAGGGCAGTCTTGCTCCTGCTCATCACCTCCTCCTCTGGCCCCATCAGAACTCGAGTTGGCCCCTCCTAGGATGCTAGGCCAATCCCCCAGGTCCGTCCTGTCCACTATTACCTTCCCGCAGCCCTGAGAAGAGGACTGGCTGCCCGAGCCCGCCCCCCAAGTGGAATTTGCATAAGTTGAAGTAGTAGTAGTATTAGAAGAAGACGACAGAGCAGCGACGCATGATGAGGATGAGCTGGGGGGTGAAGTGGAGGATGAACCCAGGTTGGAATCTATGGAGACAAAGTGGAGAACATTTATTTGATTGACAATTTAAGCATTTTCAACACCAAATAGGTAGCAAATGGTTCTCCTATAGCAGGGATCTCCAACACGTCGATCAGTAGCTCGCCGCTCGATTATCGCGTAGTAAGGTTGCTTCTTGATTTTTCGGCCGTGGCTGGACAATAACGTTTTTTTGTTTTTGAATGTTTTCTGTGACAGGAATATCAAATTGGTCGGTGACACAGAGATCAAGGAACAGACGTGACAGCGGCACAGCGACACTACACACGGTCTGCTTTCTCCACCAACACCAATCCAGAACCAACAGCAGAATGACCCGCTCTGAATCAGGCCTGTCGCTGCGGCTCAGAGACACATCGGGAGGGATTTGTGTTTTTTTGAAAAACACTCGTTATCGTCACGTCAGGTTTTTTGTGGATTTAATCAAGTCTTGGGTTGCAGAGTATGAATGTGCTCTTGCTATTTTCAGTTGATAAATACCATAGACTGTATATAAAGATAAATAAGTGTGTAAAGTTTGTGAAGGCAGGAGGAAAAGGCTTCCGCAATCACCGTCTCCTCTGTTCCTCCAAACCCCGCCCCCTCCCTGCAAATAATGATTGACAGGCTAATAGTAACCTGATAGAAACTTTATTATTCACTGATTGAGATGATGAAGCTAACTTAATCTCATACATCCATGGGATTTATGCAACAGTAAGATAATCTGTGCACCCACATGCACTATTTTTGTTTTTATATGCTGTTGTAAATACTCCCGTTGTCTGCTGTGTTCAGACTCAAGTCCTGTGTGTGATGCCACATTCAAGACATTCAGTGTCTTTTTTTAACAGAAGACCGTTGCTAGAAGCTGCAGCTAGACCGCAGAAGTATTAGTTTTTGAGGATGGAACAATTTCACACACAGATATAGGGAGGCTAGACCTATACAATTGATTTATTATGGTTTATAATTTAATGTCAAGACGAAGAAAAAGATGGCTGAACTGTTCAGTGTCAATCCCATGGAGGTGGAGGTTATACATCTCCAAAATCATGTTCAGCTTAAGTCTCAGCAAAACTCACAACATTTCTGGAGCCTTGTAGACCCAGAAAACTATAAGAACATCACCAAGCAGCACTGAACATGTCTGCTTTAGTTGGTTCTGTTCTGCATACCTTTGTGAAGCAGCTTTTTCTGACATGAATGTCATGAAATCTAAATACAGAACAAGACTGACTGATGAACATTGAAATGACTCTTAGAGTGAACCTAAGTGGGTACACTCCAGCAGACCCCTCTATGGTGGACTCCATGCAGCGCCAGTCATCTCACTGACTGTAAAAAAGAGTGAATGCACTTATTTTACACATGTGCCATAAGATGTTTGTACGGTGGTGATTAAGGACATGTATGTGAATGTCCAGTGATGTACTTACTATGTGGGCCATAATCATAATAATATGTGAGAAATTGTCGTTTTCTTGGACCTTGATGTGAAGTTAAGATTTTTTACAAGCTTTAGGTATTGCAATTTCACACGTGTACAAAAGTAGCTTAATTCAACTGATGAGGGCTATGTGAATAAATGTAAGCGATGCAAGTAGCTCTTGGCCACTTTCATTTTTTCAAAGTAGCTCTCAGATGAAGAAAGGTTGGAGACCCCTGTCCTATAGAGCGCCACAGTGACGCGTCCTAAAACCAGGAAGTAAACTCCTTCCGGTTCCTTCAACAAAAACGCAATGCAATCTCTCCATAGGGTTTTGGAAAATAGCTGGAAATAAGGTCTGTGGTTGAAACACATTTAAGAGACGGATCACGTTTTGTTCAGCCGGATAATCTCCCCATGTCTATCCCTACTTTTATAATTTTCTAATCGTAAATCTAATCGCCAGAAGCAAAATGCTAACGTTATGCTATAAATGAACTACAGCAGGGTCGCTGCTTCAACGTCTCGTCAACTTAAGATCCATATTCAAACATACAGATTCTAAATGGTACAAGTTGAAGCGTTTGTTTCAACAGTTTGCAGGAGGCAGGGTACTTGCTTTCAAGCAGAACACGGGGAACAACTTAGGAGTGTTTACGTTCGGCGTAATGACGTACAACTGCCTCGACAACTTCTGTAGTCCTATTCAGCCACTCGGTAACAACCATCGTTTTTCAGACACGTAAACTCTTCAGAAATCACCAGTGGGGTCACTGCTGATGTATTTAATGTCATAGAACAAAACGTGATCCGTCTCTTCAATGTGTTTCAACCACAGACCTTATATCCAGCTATTTTCCAAAATCCTATGGAGAAATTACCGGAAGTGGTAAAATGCTAATTTACTTCCGGGTTTTAGGACGCGTCACTGCGGCACTCTATTACTAACAATTATTAGTCAGTTCAGTGAGTACATATTAATGTTGCCACTTAAAACTTTATATATCTAAAATTGTAGGGATTTTTGGTGACCAGTGTCCCTGCTGCAACAGACCTAGGTTCAAATCCAGCCTAGGGTCCTTTTACCCATGTCTCCCCTCTATCCTACCCTTTTAAATCTCTAATGTCAACTGATGGATTGGATGCTGTTGTAAAATTATGTTAAGAATCAGTTTTATTTTAAAGAAAGGTTAGCACATAAAAATAATTTGCTTTGGTGTAAATAGTACATACATAAGCACAGTAAAATAGATTAAGTATTAAAGATCAAGAAAAACAAGATTTAAAAAAAGGTAAATGTCTACACAAAATATAAATACAGAAAAATCTGAAGTTGTGGAGAGCTGTTAGATGTTATATTGCTGTTTGATCAACTGTAAAGTGCAAAGTGGCCTTTCTAAAAATGTGTTGTTCAGTGGACTTCATATCAAGCTCGATCATCTTCTTCTAGGGCTGTGCAATTAAATCGTATTTTAATCCAGATTACGATTCTGGCTTGCAACGATTACGAAAACAACGTAATTGAAATAAAAAGATTATTTTTGCTGCATTTTGTCTTGCATTATACATCCTTTTTTTTTTAAAAAGTTCAATAAATGGATGTTTTTAAAGTCAATGAATAATCGTATTTAATAATCGTGATATCAATATTGACCAAAAATAATCATGATTATGATCTTAGCCATAATCGAGCAGCCCTATCTTCTTCCGAGACATTAACCCACCTGCGCCTCCAGCTATGTTTGCATCGGCTCCCTGGGAGGAGAGCGATGGGGCGCCTGCCCAGCCACTGCCTCCTCCAACACCCCCGTCCCCTGCGCCTCCCCCCAGTAGCATGGAGGACAGCGGCGGCTGGCCCCTCTTCAGTAGCACTTTATGGTCCTGCTGGCAGCGAAATCTCGGCGGAACCTCTCTGGACATGTATCGCTGCTGTTGGGAGGTCTGGCTTCCAGAGGGGGAGGAGGTGGGCTGTCCGTTGGCCACAGCAGTCCGCTGCTTTGCATTGTTCCCGCCACCAGGAGGAACTTGTGCAGAAACCCCGGCTGCACCAGGACTGGGAGACGAGGGGGCAACAGGGCCAGGGCTGGGGGACACTGAGCCTGGGGTGGCTAGAGCCTGGGAACAGGAGGGTTTGGCTGATTCTGGCACTGAAATACACAGGAAATAAAATATATTCAAGGATTCAAGGCTTTTATTGTCATGTGTACATAGCTACAGTGTAGTTATTATGACAATGAAAATCTTAGGTCACAGGCTCCTCCAACAGAGCAACACAATACAACAGATAATAGTGCAAGTAAATAAATTAAAAAAATATATATAGTAGAAATAGTGCAGAATATATCTGATATATACAAGTTGCAAACAGATGAATGTTTTGGATATTAACCAATGACTTAAACATGATGAGAGAAAGACAGTTTGGGTGAGTTACTTAAATTCTGACAAGATGTAAACAAAATGCAGATAAGTGAAGATACTGTGGCTAAAAGTTTAAGAATAGGTGGCAAGTTTCTAAAATGTGAGCGTATTTGTGCATAATCCTACAAATGAATACTGATGGTCATCACAGTTGTTTTTTAAAAACAGGATACCACTTATTAAAACATATTTAACAACAAGATATAAAAGACTGCCACTGACATCATATTAAAATAAACATACCTTTGATTTTCTGTTCTGGCACCTAAAAGACAAAGAATAAGTGAGTAAGATCAAAAAGGCAGAACATAATTTGTTAAATAGGATACACCAGGACATATGCTAGCGAGGCAATATCCGAGCAAACATCACATGGCATTGAATGCTCATTTTTACAATTTCCAAGCATGAAAAAAATCCTTCTGAAGATGCTAGTCCATAAAACCTAATAAAATATTCCAATTCAACAAACACAGTCCTTGCCAAGAAAAGTGGTAAAGATATGTAAGCCAGAATATCATGTGCAAAACCAGGCAAACATGTTTACCTTCTGAGAGGTTTCCCTTTTCTTTTTATCTTCTTTTTTCTTTTTCTTGTCTTCCATGAACTACTGTTCCCTTTCCTGATTCTCCTGTCTGTGAAGAGCAATGTACACGTTCAATTATGTATGTAACACACACAGAGGCACACTGATAGTAATGTCAAGCTCACAAAAGCACATGTTTTCACACAGACACGTCCACACTTTCACTCCAAATGAATAAGGATTTCATCTGATGACAGCTAAGTCATTTACTACATGGTCAAATGTGTAAAGGACTGTTGTTAACCAGGGGCGGCCAGCTTGACAACAGCCCTTGGTAGCCTAGCTTCTCACTGCATAATTCATTAACCAGCAAACGATTGCAATCCCAACCAACAGCGGCCAAACAAGTGACTCTAAAGTCTAAACTCTCCAACATTTCTGGTAAAGACCAGCTCTTCTGCATTACAGTATAGACTACAATTGCAGCATGATCCACAGAATACTAGCTTTATTGTGAGTATATGACTGGATCTGTCCAGTGTTATGACAGACCAGTATAGTAAACCTATACAACATGCAATTACACAACTCAAGTAAGCTTATTTGGTATAAAGCAAAAACAAACCATAGGAGCTTTCATTAATGTAAATTATGTATATTATTTTAATGTGGAAATGTAAACAGATATTAGAAACCTGAGAGCTGTAAATGCAACTGGGCCTTGTGTTTCTGTTAGCTAAGCTGCACATAATTAGCATCATGTCACTCAACTCTAACGTAAGCTAGCTGGACAACGTATGGCTGCTCTAACCCTTCACTGTATCCCAAACAGATTCACACCTAGCATGACCTTAAATAGTCAGCTTATGTATTGCATGTTCCCCTAAAAAAGCGGATGTTTAAAATCACTTTAGGAGCAAACAGTGAGAATGTTATGTAAATAACAGGCCAGTAAGAAGCAGCTAACAGAGCTTCACTCGAGTTAGCAACTAGCTAATGCTAACCGACTTCAAAGCAGCTGAGGGGCCGTGTGCAGTGACCTGAGAGCCGGGGGCTAGAGGAAGTACTTTGCCCCAAAGCCTGGTGCCTCCGTGGGACTAAAAACTAACCTCTACGCAGTTGACTACAAACGAAAAGCACGTCGTGTTATTTAAAGATATGTCCCCATATATAGTCAAACAGAGATAATCCCATGTACATACTTTATGCCAGAGGTGGAAAAAGTACTACAATTGTGTAGTTAAGTAAAAGTACCAAAGAGCAGGGATTCTCTGTTACAAGTCCTGCATTCAAAATCTTTATTAAGTAAAAGTATTAGCACCTAAATATACTTAAAGTACAAAAAGTAAAAGTACTTCATTGTCCAGATTGGCCCATTCCAGAATAATATGATATGTTTCATAATGATTGATTATTAAAGTGTTCTCAAAGCTGGTAAAGGCGCAGCTCGTTTTAATGACTTTATATACTGCAGGGTAGCTGGTGAATTTACTCCAGGAGTAACTAAAGTCTGATTTAAGTGTTGATTACAGATTTCACATCATTAATCCATATCTGTAAAATTACTAAAAAGTTATTAAATAAATGTAGTGGAGTAAAAGTACACGATCTACCTCTGGATTAGAGGGGGTAGAAGTAGTATCTCAAACTTGTACTTAAGTTCTGTACTTGATGTACTTAGTTAATTTACACCACTGGTGTATAGTAGAACAGAGATCATTTAATTTACATACTTTACGGTAATTATTCGTCTATAGTCGAACAGATATAATTTAATTAGCCTACTTTAGGGTAATTATTCGCAGTGCTGTAAAGTAACTAAGTAGATTTACTCGAGTACTGTACTTAAGAAAAATGTTGTGTTAACGCACCTGGCAATAAACTCGATTCTGATTTCATTTACATTCTTCACGGTAATTATTCGTCTACAGTGGAACAGGTATCATTTAATGTACATACTTTGCGGTAATTATTCGTAACTTTTTAGTAAAACAAGTGAGGCTGGTTCATAACGATAACGGTCGACAGGGCCAAATCAAACGACGAACTTCAGTGACGTTTCTTCAGCATTGCAACAAGCTACATAAACTGAGAAACACTAATGTTACTACCGGTTTAAACGCGAAATATCCAACGTTATTAACAAGCAAATACAATATCAAAGCTACGTTAATGTTAAAATACTCACCTCGGGAATCACATAGGACATAAAGTGCTTCTGTGCAAAAATTCTTGCAGACCCACCGCTAGCAGGCTAGCAAAGGTAGCTAGCCTAGCGAGCTAGTTCTTCGAGGCGTTCAAGGCTAAATTGAATAAGAAATGACATCACCGAAAGGATAATCGTAGAAAAAAAACGAGGAAAAGGCGAGTATTCCTTTTTGTGAGCGACTGTAGTTCTCACGCTGTAAACAAAACATGCATAACCCCTTGATGACTGTCAGACGCTGTGTGATCGGTTAGTTTGCTATCGGCCATTTTGCTTCTGTGTGGAGGCTTTAGCAGCAAATGATATCACCAGGCTGGTTGTTGATCAGAGAGGGGAGGAGGAGGAGCGGGCACGCGCCACCAGGGGGCGTGCTGACACTGTAAACACGACGTCATACACGCGGGTGCACGGTGCAAATAAGTAAACAAGCATTTCTGCTGTGGGTGTGTAGAGACACTGTTGAGCATTTATTTTGGAAAAACCAAACTGTGAATTAGTTTTCTGGGCTAAACCTTTGTGCTCCCATTAATGACAATATTGTAGAGACGTTTAAGATAAGATAAGATAAGGTCTTTATTGATCCCAATTTGGGAAATTGTTTTTGTTGCAGCAGCATAAAAGACAAGGCATTTTACAATAAAACAAAACTACAAATAAACAAGAATAGAAAGAGAAGAAAATATACATGTAGATATTATATATACAAATATATTCAAAAATATATGACATATGGAATATGGAATATTAAATATTAAATATTGAACAGATGATATATGTGTAAAATGTACAACGTGGTTTTATTTCAAGAGAAACTATGGAGCAGAGAGTTCTCTTCCAGCCAGAGGTGATTTATTGTACAGTTTATCTTGCGTTTGGGTTTGTTCTTGGAAAATAATAATCAGAAAAACACTATATTTCATTACAATAAATGTCATTACATTTAATTCAAAGCGACAAACATTATAAGTGCTAGTTCAATGGCTTAAATTAAGCCACACCTCTCTAAATATTCTTTTTATTTTATTGTATTATTATTTTAATTAGCCGAGGTGCAGTTGAAACAGGTGTTTTCAGTCTGCTACGGAAGATTTAAATTATTCATCCTTTTATGATAATTGCTAAACTCCATAGCCATATAACAAACAAAGACTACGACACCTCTGTTGTGCAATAACACTTGTGTGCAATATGTAAATTGTAAAATGTATTTTAAATATTATGGGCATGCCCTTTCTAATAGTTTGTATTTGTTGTCCCTATCTCCACTTTTGAGGTAACAATGTAAAGTTCCCTTCTGTGGGACAAATAAAGGTATACGTTTATTAGAAAAGAAACCATGCTTTATTGCCTTTAGCATTAAGTTAAAATATATATTATTTAAATCCCCCCACCCTGCCTGTTCAAATTTAAACTCAAGCATAACACATTGGTATATTTGTTTTTGTTATCCTTTATCATGTTTTCAGGGCACATCTCTTGAAATGGATGTTGCTAAACGCTCTTAAAAATGAGTCTGACAGAACTCTGTAAAATGTTTTTGATACGAAATATACAGCAAAAAAGTTGCAACCTTAAAGCTTTATATTTTTCTGCATTAAAACATATATAATAAAAGCGACAGGATTTGTTTAATGAGAACATAGAACTTCTTAAAGTGGGAATACAAAAAAATCCAGTCTAGTTGGTTGTGTTTCAAGTATTATTTCCTTATCAAATGCTCATGCATTGCGTCACTGCTGCCATAGTTAAATAAAAACATTAACAATTAGACCAAGTCTGAAATATTTGAGCACAAACATGAATTAAAAAACAGTATTTTTGTATTAATTTAATATTGAAACTGGTTACAAAAAAATTGCAATAGAAATCAACAGACCATTTTGTCATTGTGTGCTACAGCTCCTGCTTTACAGTTTAGTGTTAATACAAATGCAGCATTTGCTGACTTTCAGTCATACACAGATATGATTTTTCTTTCTTTTAAGAAATGTGTATTTTTACCAAAACAGCTTTATCAGTTTGATTATTTTAAGTAAGCATTATTTCAGACCAAGAAGAACACATTCTTTACTGCGAATACAAAATGTGGATAAGAAGATTTACACCTGATTTGCACCCTTCGCTACATGCCGCTTAATTGGGAATACAATCCCAATTTATATGTGAATGGATCTGGCCCTTCCTACATCCAGGACATGGTTAAACCGTACACCCCAGCGCGTGCACTCCGCTCTGCATCAGCCAAACGGCTCGCTGCACCCTCACTGCGAGGGGGACCCAAGTTCCCATCAGCAAAAACACGTGGGTTTGCTATCCTAGCTCCAAAATGGTGGAATGAGCTCCCCATTGAAATCAGGACAGCAGATAGCTTACACACCTTCCGGGGGAGACTGAAAACTCATCTCTTTCGACTCCACTTCGAGCGATAGAATTACTAACAAAGCACTTATATTCTAACAAAGGACTGGCTTATCTAAAGCCAGTAGAGTAGCACTTGAAATGGTTTGGCTCTATGAAACCTGATGTACTTTTATGATTCTGTTTTCTTCAAGTTTGTCGAATGCACTTATTGTAAGTCGCTTTGGATAAAAGCGTCAGCTAAATGCAATGTAATGTAATATGTCCGTCCCCCCCCCCCATGTCCTCAAATGCCCAAACAGTGGGCATCTTGTGTGACCCCTTGAGCATTCCTCCTAAAGTTTGCAGGTTTATACCGTTTTAAGTGTAGTTATCTGTCTGAATGGAAACAAGTGAAAGGGCATTATGAATGATGTTCTTTTCTTGTGTTGGTCAAGTTTCTGTTTTACATTTGTTCACATTGTAGCCAGTCCAGCTCGGCTATATAGATGAATATTAAAAAAATATATATGTTGCACGAATGCACAAATGGGGCTTCCTCAGAGACAACACATACATTGATCTTCGAATAGCAGAATGATCCAACACCATAGTTTAAGTGTCTAAGAGAAACCTGTCTCATTTAGACAATTGTTAGAAAATTCACTAATGGGGTATTTACTGATGTGTTTTATGTCATAGAAAAAAACTTTTAAAAACTACAGATATTTTTCACGAATCTAATAAAAAAAACATTGACTTCACGACGAGGGAGCCAGAAGTGTCAACATGTTAACTTATTCCCAGGTTTTAGGACTCATTCCTGCACCTCTCCATATCCTGTCTTTGGCTCTTTTCTGCTGGAACAATGTAAATGTCCCTTCTGTGGGACTAATAAAGGTATTCTCATTCTGATTTCTCTCTCCTCTACTGCAGTCTATCCAGCTCGATCCAGGCCACCGCCCTCTGCTGGCTGTGGATGGTGTTGCAGATGGCGGCCAGCAGCTCGTCCGTGCAGCTCCAGGTGCTCGGCTCCAGGCTGAAGTAGAGCAGAGGAAGGGTCTCCAGCTGCAGCTCCTCCGCCTGGCACACCTCCTCCATCACGCTGTCCTCCCCACACCGCGGGAACAACTTCCTATTATCAATTGGAGATGCAACAAGTTAAAGGAAAATACTTTCAGATGTATATCTGTAAGGTATGAACATTTGCACATCGGTGTGTATGGTGCATCTGTGCCAAGTGATGCGTTTAGAATCCAATGCTTGCTTACTTTAGCACTTAATTCACTATACTTGCAAGCTAATGAATGCACCCTTACCTCAGCGTCTTGTGCTTTTTGTTCTTAGGGCGGATATGGATGACGATGGGGTAGATCCCCTGTCTCAATAAGCCTTCAACGCTGTGCAGCCCCAGCTCCAGCAGACAGTGCTTGTCCTGGGATAAAAAAGGGAGATTTGAATAATGTTTGACAATATAAATTAATTATTATACCATAATCACCTCTTATCATAAATTAAACAGTTGAACTAGCAATTAATTTACTTCTTACTTTACCTCGAGAGACATGGGATGTTGGTGCCTTGAAATTACTTTTTTTTTTAAATGTTTTTATTTCCTTACCTGGCTGATGACTTCCTGTATCGACTGCAGCCGTATTCCCAGAGCCTGCTCGGGAATGCTGGAATCCAACAGGAACACTTTCTTGTCTCGTTTCTCTGAAGCCTGGATAGGTTCTGCAGACCACAGGAAGCAGGAGGAGAGTGATGAAGGTCAAAGGAAGAATCATCAACCTTTTTGTTTAGTATTTGGGCAATAGCAGGAGCCATTTGTGTTTGTTGTTCGCATGTCATTATTTTGAAGGTTTATAACACTTGGTGGAGGTGATTAGATGCACAGGGATGTCATTATGGGGGCCAAACATTACAGGAAAGGAGGGCACAGTTTTCAGACCTGCAGACTATCAGAGCACAACAACCTGAACACCACTCTCTTGCAGAATTGGTGATGTACAATAACTTCAGTTAACTTCAAACTGCATCTAACAACTGGAAAATATCAGTTTGTGTCCGAGTACGATCACTACCACCTACCTTTGTAAGAAGGAAAAGAGGACATCGGGAAGTATAAGAACTGCCATTACAGGCATCATGTGTGTAGATAAGTTTGTGTGTGTGTGTGTGTGTGTGTGTGTGTGTGTGTGTGTGTGTGTGTGTGTGTGTGTCTACATACCTGGTGGGCAGGTGTTGAACTTCAGACCAGACTCGGCAGGTTGCAGCAGCCTCTCGATGAGACCCCGAGAGAGAAGAGAGGGGGAGAAGATAACCGGCCTCTTCGTCTGAACCTGCACCGGCTGCACCAAGCTGTACGGGATCAAGTGCTCCTCGTGACCTGAGAGGCACACATACACACATATTAAACTAAATGTAATAATTACAAAAATATGACTTATCACACAGATTTAGTTTGGCGTTTTGGGGGAAATGTTGGCGGGATCTTACGTTTGCTGAGTGTGTAAAGGACCTGCTTTGTGGAACCATTCCCACGGCCAGCGGGATCCACTGCCTTGACTAATCGTACACGACAGGGCGCTTTCCTCAGGAACTACATGTGAGAACATGTAAGATAAGTAAACATATGTTAGCTGTATGATAGCAGTTCTGTAATAGTCTGGTTTGGCACTGTACACATGGATAAACAAAGGAAAACAGATAATATATATTTGAAAGCACCAGTTGGGCCATCTTTCCAAGATTAATTTCATTGCATTTCTACGTTTATGTTCATGTCATTGTAAAACGAGCAGACTTACCTTCCTCTTGAAGTCTTTTTGCTCCAGCGCCATTTTTCGTAACCTTACAAGTAACAACTGTTGTGCCCTGAGATGGAACATATATACTTGTTATTTACACATACTCAAATTCTGCATAGTTTAAATACAGTAATATTTTCTTATTTTTAACATACCACATTAAATTCTCCATATGGACTGGTGCAATGCACAAATCACAGGCTAAATATGTGTTGGAAATACTATTTTGAATGAAGTTTTGTCGAGCTGCTGAAGAGATATCATGACCTACAAATAGTATTCAAAATATTTTACAAAGCATATGTGTATGGTACAGATCCTCTCAAGAAAGTACACTACGATCCCTTTAAAATAATTAAATGCAAAATGGTCAATTTCTCCAATATGTTGAATCACATTGCAATATCAGTCAAAAATAATGTCAATGACCTACTTTTTACAAATTATGCAGCCCTACAATATACACACTATAGTATTGATCACAAAATCCACACCTGCTAGAATTCTAAAATACTAAATAAACAAAATAAGCAGTGAAATGAAGATCTCTTGGCGTACCTGTTGTAGTTGGGCATGGTTCCTGCCTGCAGGGCCTTGGTTGTGCGTGGATCCACCAGGGAACAGTGCCAATTATACTTCTCATTGTGTCTTGTGTCTCTGACGTGTACAATATCATCGCAGGACACACCCAGAGACGGAGGGTCCCCGTGAGGCTCCATGTTGAGATTGACCCGCACGTAGAAGGAGTCGACGCCTTTAAAAGAAGGCGAGGAGAGCTGGGAGCGCAGCTCGGAGTATCCTGAGGACAGGGACCAGAAACGCAGATGGTTTAGTCTCACAGAACATAACACTGAGGTTTCAAGAATACAGAAGAACACAGACTCACCCTCTGTGTTGATCCGGTGTTTGAGAGACGAAGGGTCGGCCCACCACTGCAGAGAGAAGTGTGCGACCTCAGCGGTGCACTGACCCAGCGAGACACTGCCCCCCCCAAACAAGATCCGCTCCAGCTGGACGACAAGAGAGAAATCATGTTATGTTTCAGCCTTACTTTCTTATGTTTAGGTGATTTTATTTCATGCCGTTTACATTTTGTGATCAATACACTGTGTAGGATACGCGCAGGATATAAGTAGGAACCAATGTTTGTTTTAGAGTGTCATGTTGTGTATTGTGGTGACCACCTATACACTGGTTCATAATTCACACATGGAACTACAGTTGGGGTTTTGTTTCCACACGGGCAGGTTATGTGTTGTCTATATATGTTGTGTGCCCTCCTGGTTTCACTCTCTTCTTCCCGGAATGCAACCGGACAACAGCTCTTAAATAAAGTACCCTTTTGCACCTTCATTGCACCGCCTCCCTATCTCTCGGCACTACAGTATGCTGATTGAAAGCAGATTTGAGTTTAATGGCCAAAAGTAACTGGAAATAAAATGGACTGATTGGAAACTAGCACAAGGATGTAAATATGGGGGCAAAGTATACAGGTTGACAGAGCGCTCAGTTTTTACCAGACCTGCAGACAAACTGATATTCTGTACAATCTGTGATGTTGTATTTGCTGTAAAGTGTCTCTACTGTAGGCTATTTTTATTATATGTACAGCACTTTGGCTCGACCAAAAATCGTTTAAAAATGTGCTATATAAATAAAACTTGATTTGATTTGAACAACACCTGGTGATGTACAATAACTTCAATTAACTTCAAACTGCATCTAAAACTTGAAAATATTCTGTTTGTGTCCGAGTACGATCACTACCTGTGTAAGAAGGAAAATAGGACATTTGGAAGTATAAGTAATAATGAGAAACTTTTTTATCTGATTAATTTACTTAAAAGCTGCACATCAGCGGCTTAGCGCGTTGGCTTAGCTTCTACACATTGAACCATCGGAAGGCAGATCTGTAAATACGAGTGTGCAATCTTACCGTCTCTTTATGAAACATCATACAGGCATTCCTCATTCATGATTTAATCAGACACACACACCTCCAGCAGCTCACTGCCCTCCTTCAGTCCACACAGCTCCGCGGGGGAGCCAGCTCTCACGCGGCTGACGAAGATCCCCGTCTGGTTTCCTCCCACGATCGTGATGTCGTCCGCCAGACCGGCTTTCCTCTTCCTCGGGGAGACGGGGGGGCTGGAGGACGGGGAGCGGGAGGGAATCCTGAGAAGCAACAATGGTCGGACATGAGACCAAGGTTTGGCAAAGAGCAGTAAAGAGTCTATTCACCGTATAATGAGTCAATCCACCCACACTGTGATAAATTGATGTGTTTTCTAAGACTTTCATTTCAACTACACCCACTTCCTGTTCAAACATTAATGAGATGTTTATCACATATATCAGCTGGAAAGGAATTGTTGGTTGCATAACAAAGCTCCAACAAACAAGATTAGGATCATGCAGATGTGTTCATAAAAGTTAATGGGCCATAGCTCACAGCGTACCCTTGAAAATTAATTCCTTCAAAATATGTAATACTGTGGTTGATTAAAACCCTAGTTTAATAATTACTTTCTAATTTTTTTATTTAAAAATGAATGTTTATTGATGTTGGTTTTATTTATTTATTTATTTTCTAGCTTTTTTAATGTATTTTTTTTCCCGACCTTTTCGTCTTTTATTCACATCAAAAATAATAACTGCTTTTGGTTTTGAGTCAAATAGTATGGCATGTTTCTTTGTTTGTCTTACTTATACTGCCTGTAAAGAAATGATGTTGTCCTTTCAGCAAAGCACATGTATGGACAAACCAAGTCAATAAGTACAAAATAAAAAATCCCTTAAATTGCAGTTATTCTTATCTTAGACGGTGTCAACCGGTACCTGGGAACGCTGAGGTTGTGTTGGTGTGGAGAGGCGGCCGGCAGGTTGACGAGGTCCGGAGGGAAGAGGTGAGAGTGAAGGGAGTTCCAGGAATCCCACAGAGACGGTTCACTCGGCTCTCCTGAAAACACCAGTCAATTATTCTCCCAAAATAAGCACGAAAGCAAAACAAGAACTGGAGCAAACACCTTTCTGGTTTCCGAAAAATGACAGAATCAAATATACCTGTAATGTTATCATTCTCATCACTGCCCCACGATTCCAAGTCAAACCTTTTGGGAGCAGAACAAAAGAGATGTTGAGAACAAAAAGGTCATTAATACGGTTGGAAAATCTGATTGATATGTGAGGCTCACTCTATGTTGCATCGCCGGTTGATGGAGTTCATACACGGAGGAAAGGGGAACGTGGAGAGACGGTTGATCTCTTTTTCGTCTTCTGTCTGAGGGTAGAGAGGTGAATAAACCAGATTCAGATATTTGTAATACTTTCCTTCCTGTGATTTTCAGAGCCTCGATACTCACCGATGACAAGAGATTCTCCTCTGAGTTGAAACTGGAACCTGTAGGAGCAGAACAAACATTTCTAAATAAAGGATATCAACAGTATATGAAGTAGATACAGTTCTTTATACTGTGCAAGACTTGAGAAACATCTTCACGATGCAAACAACTTACCCTCTGAGTTTTCATTGGTTTGGCCACTTGAGGGCGTCTGTAGCACAGAGAAAGTAGGTATTAAGAGAGGTATTGTGCAGGTCTTCACACGCTAAGAGTTGCAAAAGAATCTACTACAAAGTCTCATTATCAAGATAATAATAAGAGCCTAGTGTTTGTGGTCCAAAACATTCCTTGCATACCCTTCGAAAAATGTGAGAAAACATGTTGCAGTATAAAAAACAAACAGTTGTGTCCCATGGAAATGAGTTATACTACTTAAACAGGACATATGCGTACTCATTCGTTCATTAAAGGTGACATAGGATGTTCATTTTCAGGTTCTTAATTGTGTTCTAGGCTTCTTCTAAAACATGTTAACATGCTTTAAAGCTGAACAAAACATTATTCCTCTCATGATGTCAGTCTGAATATCTCTGTATTCAGCCTCTGTCTGAAACACTCTGTTTTAGCGCCTGTCCCTTTAAGTGATACAAAAAACTGTGGTTGCTAACAAGTGATGAATGAGATAACTAAACGTAAACAAGACAAACATTAGCTAAGCGTGAAGTCATGCAACAGTTATGTAGTTGGTTTTTTGTCGATTGCATTTACGCTTTAAAATCATAAAAGTTGTGTTAATGTCTTTAAATTATTGTCTTATTCTCTGCAATACAAAACCCAATGTAAATATCCCATTGCATTTTGTTGAGGGCGCCTTTGTGATGATACATTTCGGGATGGTCAACAAAAATACATCATCCCTGCACCCTTAATTATAAATGTAAGTAACAAAACGCTAACGTAGCTAGCCCTGACCTTGCGCAGGCGGCTGCTGTTTGCCTGGGGTCGGAGGTCGAGGCCGAGGGAGCAGCAGGGGCCGTAGCAGTGGTCCTCGCTGCAGAGGGAGAGGTGGGACTGGGGAGGGAAATGGGGAATAATATCAGAATCAACTACTACCATCTAATCGGAGATACAGGGTCCCTCGATTCAATGAAGTGAGACTGAAGCATCCTTTGTGCTCCAGTCAATCCTCACAGTAAATACAGAGCTGAATCCAGATCAGATGCACGCTGAAGGCTCTTTGAGCAGGTTTTCTCTCACTGATCGTGCTGTTATGTTAAATGTTGTTTGTTTTTCATGTATTGTGTCTTGATATTTGTCTGTTGATGTTACACATGGAGCTGCTGTGATGCAAGCCACATTTCAGACTTGATCTGACCATTAAAGTATTATCGTATTGTATCGTAAGTTTATTGCCAGGTACGTTTACACATACAAGAAATTAGCTTGAGTTGCAAAGTAGGTAAAAAAAAGATATATATAAGGATTGATTGACTGATCAATTTTATTTCGAACAAGTAAAATAAATAATTAGAAAACAAAACAAATGTTGCAGTGCATAGTCATGTAAGAGAAATCAAAACAAAAAATGACATTTACAACAACAACAACATTAGCAACATAAACAGTCCCACATCTAGTGTTCGAAAAGGAGTGAGAAGAAGTATAATTTATTTAATCTCACCCCCTTTTCCCTAAATGATTTATTTATAATCTATAATCTGCAATAATTATCATTATTATTCATTATTATTGTTATTATTATTATTAATCTGCTTTACCTGTTGATTGACATATATACATAATACACATATGTACATACACACATATATACATATACATACACACCTCCATACTCACACACATACAGTACACATAGTCACCTTCCCCATCCCTGTACCTCGAGAAAATAATTTCTCTGTATTTCCTCTTGAACTGGTTAATTCAATCTTGGTTAAGGATAATTAAAAAAAAGTATTTTAAAGAAACAATTGAAAAAAAAAAGAAAGTATTCTAAAGAAACAATTTAGCATTAAAAAGACAAGTATTTACACCAAATTTAAATGTAACTACACAAATAACCTTAAAAGTTCAAAAAAACATGTAAAGTCTATGTGGTCTATGTGGTGCTGCAATGCTCAGTTTCAAAGTCAACTTTATTGTCAATCTTTCAGTTTGTGTGTACAGAGAGAGAGATTGAAAAATACCGTTTCCCACAATCCCGAATACAAAATACAAATATATATACAAATATGTATACAAATATGTATCTGTACTCACACAGTGCAGGCCGGGGCTGCTCTGCTCCACCTGCTCCCGGCTCCTCTCCCTCTCTCTCTCCTGCTCTCTCTCCTGCTGCTCCAGGTTGGCCTGCAGCTCTGCGATGCGTTTGCGCAGACGGTTCTTATCCAGCAGACAGTCGGTGAACTCCAGCTGCAGGCTGTCTCGACTGCGCAGAGCCTGAAGAAGAGAGAGGGAATAACTTACAAGGTGTAACAACTGTAAAAGAGTCAGTGAAGCTAATTTCTTTCTTTACGCAATACACACTAATGTTAAAATCTGAAGAAGGCCTCTTTACCAAGGTCTGAACAATGTTTAATATCTCTAAAAGTATGAATCAGATTTAAAAGTTGTGTAACACGAATAATGTCAGAAGGATGTGTAACATTTTAAAGTTGGAATGAGGTTCCTGAGTGAAAGTATGAAGGAACAGTTAGCAGTTGAAGTTGCATGAAGATGTTTCAAGTCTGAAGAGTTTCTCCATTGACTTCCATGTAAAACATTTGATGAATTATGGGATGTATCTCTGGAATTATGAAAGTTAAGAATGAGAAAAGTAATAGCAATCGATTCCCGACCGAGCTGAACGTTTTGATGTTTGAACGGAGTTTCTGCGATGTGGAATGTGGGAGAAGAAGAGGCGCAAAATAACCCGGCGGAATAATAATAAAGAATTTCTTCCGTAGAAGAACAAGTAAATAAAGTAAACAATTAAATAAGGAAATAAATAAGATAATTATAATTTTTTTATGAATAATAGTAAAGTAAATACAAAGAAATAAAAGCATTTTACACAAGGAGTGACATCTTTAGCAAAGCCAGTTACACAGGGACATTTTCCATCATGTTCTTTTGAAACTCAATTAAGTTAAAACAACCCTTTTCAACTAGCTAGACATCCAGGTATCTTTTAACACCGTTCCATCTTTTGATGAAGGAGTCCATTCTCATTTGTAGACTTGCTGTCATCTTTTCCATCGTGTGTAGACATGTTTATTGTGCAGTGAAGCTCATTAGAGGGAAATCAAACTGCAAGCTGAACTTTTGAAACACTTGCACTATTTCTATTCTATTTTATTTGCATTACTTGCGCTATTTTAACTATTTTATCAGTTTTATTGTGTTGCACCGTTGGAGGAGCCTGTGACCTGTAGCTGTGTACACATGACAATAAAAGCCTTAAATCTTGAAGTGCACGTGTGTTGCTGCACTGACCTGGTCTCTCTCCTTCTCCAGCTCCATGATCTGGTTGAAGTAAGATAAACTCCTCTTCTGCTCCGTCTCCCAGTCCAGCTGCAGGGTTCTCTCCTTCAGCTTCAGATGCTCGCACTGCGACACCAACTACAAACACAGATTACTTTACAACCTCTTTTCAAAAGCAGGAGAGAAACACTAACTTTGACGGACGACATTTTTTTTTTAGACATGATTTTGAAGTAAAAAAAAGACTTGACTCTCACTCACAGTCTCCCTTAGAGTCAAAATCCTATTACGACAATAAGAAACTGTCTTATTTGATCTTGTATCATGCCTACACTTGAGTGGATCATGAAATATTGGGTATGGAATGAATCTGCAGATGTTAAGGTTCAAAATTCGACCACATTTTTAACTTTCTTTTTTATGGATGTTAGTTCTGTGAGACTGCAACAGGCAAGGTAAGGATCTGGATCTGGTTGAGCAGTTTTTGATCACTTGTGGATAGACATTAGGGAGTGAGGAAGAGTCAATAACCATTTAAAAGAGTCAATACATTTTATTTCATTAAAACAATTATCAATAACCCCAAACCGAACGAGGTATTTGAGCATACAGTGATACATGTCCACAAGAAATATGAGCCTGATGGATCCTGTAGTGTGTGAGATTAGCATTGGCAGATTCACATGCACACTGTCCATGCATTATGTCCTCGAAGCTTAGGCCTGGTGGGGAACACATAATGTTAAGGATACTTAGTGAGTCGTTGCTCACCTTGTCCCAGTCCTCCTCGGTGCCCTGCAGCTCCCCCTGCAGTCTGCTGATGACGTCACAGAGCTCCTGCCTCTGCTCTGCAGCCTCCCGCCGGTCCTGCTGCAGGATGTCCATCAGAGCCTGAGGGAAACAACACAAAGCTCTTTTTAAACCCAGAAACACTAGAAACTTCACAAGACAACAATACACTGGGGGTGTCCGAACGACAGCCCTCAGCTAATTCAAAAAGTATAATGAAATATGGCACACAAATGAGCCTTGTGCTTGTTTTATATTGTACTTCTTAACCCTTAGATGCACGAGTGACTGGACCCTACACTCTTCCATAAGTGGGTCAAAAAGGACCCGTAGTAGAATAATATGTTTTTATGCCATTTTTGGTTAAGAAAAATCACTTGTATAATATTTAGTATTATATTTTGGTTCACACTAGAAATATTCTATAAAATATTTAATTTTAAATTTTTCACTATTTATCATTTTATTAAAAAAAATTACATTTCGAAAAAAAAACGAAATTCCATAGAAAATGCATGCGGGGTCATTTTTTACCCACTTATTGAAGCTTGGGGTAGTAATACAAAAACTACAATTTCTTAAAATATATAACGTTTAAATAAAAAATTTGAATGGCATGATATCCAAAATATGTTTTTGGAGGAATAGCTGGAATATGAAATGATAAAAAAATGTAATTACAAAGATACTCTAAGAAAACCACCTCACCGGGTCAAAAAAGACCCACTTATGCATCTAAGGGTTAACCTGTACAAATATATAACACGGTATTCATGTGTTAATAACAAAAATAACACTTTCTAACAAATATAAGTTGATGAGAAAAAGCCCAATAACTTATTTACATAACAAGCTTGAAATAAATCCTTCATACTTCCCCTTATTATAAGCAATCTGAGGCTTCCATTTTAAGGAATGAGCTGCCAAAAAAATGTATCAAACCGTATAGAGAGCTTTGATTTAAGCTGTTTTTTTCAGTATCAAGCATAACTATACCTACATTTGATTGATTTAGCTAACTTGTAAATTAACTGATAAGGCGATATACCTCTAGTGAGCCGCCCAGCCCTTCTTATATTTGTCTGTATGTATCACGGGGGCGTGTGGCGCAGTGGGTAGTGCGATGGTGTTGGGATCAGGGGGTCACATGCTCAAACCCCACTGCAGTCAGCATGTCGTTGTGTCCCTGGGCAAGACACTTCACCCCAAATAGCTCCTGTGGGGATTGTCCACAGTATTGAGTATGTAAATCGCTTTGGATAAAAGCATCTAACAAGTGACATGTAATGTAATGTATGTGGCCCTCAGTGAAAAAAGTTCGGACACCCCTGAATTAGATCTTTGTCTTGAGAGACAATCATGAGGAGAAAGAGTTGTTGTTGATTGAGACAGGAATACACAGTAAATGTTTCCAGGTGATTGAGATGAGACGTACTCTGACCCCAGTGGCAGGAACTGAGCCCCTCATCCTGGTCTCTTTATTTTCCGATTTCTGAACTTCGATGCGGTGCAGCGGCTTCTCTGGTAGAGCAGGGGGAGAACCATTTAGTCCATTGAAGAGCAAACTGTTTCTTTTGGAGAGTGTGTTATTCCCTGGTGGATCGGTGGTTTGTTTCTCTGCCTCCGTCAACCTGGACTTCAGCTCCTCCACCTGTAGAGAGAACAAGCAGTCATTAGTTTGTTGTAATTCATGCATGAAGGAGTTCATAAATCACACACTGATGGAACATCACTGTTTTGTAATTATTTATATAGGCTTTTTCTATAAGAAATGTTCGGGTCGGTCAGGGGGTACTTGGCTGAGAAAATGTTTCAAAGGGGGTACATTACTGAAAAAGGTTTGAGAAGCACTCTATTGTGGTATGTCCCGAGCCCAGGTCTTAAACAGCAGGGTTTTTGAATATTCAAAACATCCCCCTAAATTAAATTGGTAGAAGCAGCTTTTATCCACTATGCTCCCAAAACTGTAGAGCATCCTACCAAGAAATATATGCGAGGTCATTCAACATCCTTTTTATTAGACCATAGCGGGAATTATGCAGTCGTTTATTAACTGTATGGAAAAAATAACCACATATATTTCCAGGCATTTACCAGAATGTGAATCCTACTTCTGTTGAATGGAGGACAAGTTGTGACAGGGCACAGACTAAATAAAGGAGAGGCTGATACCATCACCTCTTAGTCTGATACCATCTCCTCTTTGATAACTTAATTCCTAATGTTACAGCTGTGTGCTGAGATAATGCACCTGAAGTGCTGTGGGCGCTGCCATTTGCTGCCAACAAAACATCAACATGTTTTTCTTATGCTAAGTCTCTGCTTGCAAGGTTTTGCAAAAAACTATCTCTAGGAAACAGACCCTTGTGGACCCTTGCATGTAAATAGAAGAGTTATGATCAAACTTCCCAAATTGGTTTCTTATATTAAAGGTCCCATGTCATGCTTTTCTGGTTATTACCCGTCCACTTGTGTGTTATGAAGGTTTTTATGCATGTAAACGGTCTGCAGAGTTACAAACCCTCAAAGTACACCCTGTAGCGAGTAAAACTCTAACACAGAAAATACCTCCCCAAAACGCCTCGTTGCAGATACGTCACTGTCCATTTGATTCTTCCGCGTACGCATGATGTCAACCGTACCCGGAACTAAATGGACCAATCCGTGGAGCCGTTACGTTACGTCCGCGGAGCCGTTACGTTAAGCCCCCGCTGATTGGTCCAAATTGACCAATCCACGGACTTCCTCACACACACACTCAGTGCAGGCAGCTCTGCTGATCTCTCCTCCCTGGCTGCAAGCTGATAACAGACAGTTGGGATCGTGGCGAAATTCTCTCTGCAGACCCATTCTCACAGCGTTTATCAACCTTTGTCTTACTCAATATCAAGCCACACTTATTGTTTTTACTTCGGCTGTGACTTTGTGTGTGCTCAGGATGAGTTTGGCTGTGTATCGCTAAACAAGGAAACAACACCTCCACGGAGTTCAGCGCGATTCACAACGTCCGGACTAATCAGAGCACACTGTGCTCACAGGGAGGGTGGGGGCTGGAGCTATTGGAGCTACAACGAGCCGTTAAAGGCAGAGAGTGAAATTCAGTGAATACACGTGGTATACAGAGATGCTGTTTGAGAAACCAATGTGAGTTTGGAAAATTGCACAATATAAATCTATTCTAGTAGACCTCAACAATGGAATTATGATCAGTGGAAATGGCCATGACATGGGACATTTTTTATTTTGTATACATTTTTAATTTTTTTAAAGCTTTATTCCCCAAATCAGCACTTTAGAAACAGGAAGTGAAATAGAGGGATATGAGGCATGGCTAGAATGGGTGATCTGTTTGGTATTTTGAGCAAAACACTTCATAGATATGTTTTTTATATTCTTTTATATATCTGAGACCCATGCTATTGCCTAAAAATAGCATGATAGGTGCACTTTAAGTAAAATACATAAAAAGAATAAAGGCCGTAAGTTAAGTGTACATTATATAGGTGCTTCTGGAGTGTAGTATAAAGCAGTGCTTCTCAAAGTGTGGTCCGCGGACCACTGGTGGTCCGTGAGCGCCCCCTAGTGGTCCGTGAGTATATTGGTAACATTTCACATTTTAAATAAATAAGTTAATTTAAGTTTTCCGCACTCTCGCGGGAATATCTCCGCAATGGAGCGAGGTTAAGTTTAACTTTCGATTGCATGATATAGCCCAGCGCAACACCTTCGTCACACATGTTGCCACCTGTTTGTACCATTTTCAGGCGATTTGTAATCTGTTCTAGAAAAACGATGTGTTTTTGGATATTTGTGGAGTTAGGTGGTCCGCAAGTGTTTTTTTATTGGTTAAGTGGTCCTTGGTATGAACAAGTTTGAGAAACACTGGTATAAAGCCTTTAAAGATATATGAACTACATACATTTAACAATAAAATACAGGTGAATTGATTAACAAAGTGTAAGTAATAGATATATTTTAAAAGAAATCGATTGAAGCTATTTTCTCCATATGAAAATGTGTAAATATGCAAATGAGGTGTTATCTAATGATAACTTTTGATGAATTTAGGAAAATCTACGGTACCAACTACAAAAGGTTAGTAAAATATACAGCTGACTTAGTATTTGGGATGTTTTCATTACACTAGTATTAATGAAGACATGATATAATAAATTGACCATGCATGGAAACAGGTTTCTGCCTGTCGTGCCTCTCCGTACCGACACCTTCAACTAAAACTTAAACAGGGAAAAGCAAGTTGGGTGACATGTGACGAGATGATGACTGTAATTAGTGAATTGACAGTTTCTGCAGCAAATACACAGCTGGTTTTAGAGTCAGGATTAACTGAGGAATGTGGTGGGAGTTTAGGGAAGGACTCATTCTCTGAGGGTCCTCTGTCGGCTGCAGGAGTTTGGTAGTAAAAGGCTTGTTATGTTTGAAAACTCAACAATATCTGTGACCTCCATGATTTTAAAGCCAGATTATGATGAAGAAAAGCAGGCTCCGTCTTTAACACTTCTAAGGTAAATTAACCTTTGTGATGTCTTCCCTATGCACTCATCAAATTCAATCGGTATTACATCTGTTTAGCCACCTTCATATCAACTCATTACCTCAAGTTTGACTCTTTTTCGGGGGGGAATTCATGCTTCAAAGACCTCATTTACACAAGATTAAATTATTGTTGAGTTAAAAAAAGTCTGTAGCTTTCAATTTCTCTGAGCTCATTTGTGTTGATGTGACGTATCTTTGCTGCGCAGAGGATTGTGGGTAAGAATAGCCCTAAATACTGGCTTGCACACTGCAAAATCGGAACGGATGCAGAAAGACCACCTGGTGTTTCTGGCATCCTGCATTTTAAATACTTTATTGGGACATACTGACTCTCTTCTAGCAGGTTGTACAGGTATTGGAACGCACCCACCAGCTCTAGAAAGGATCTTCATGTTTTAAAGACAAATAAAAAAAACTGTGTTCAGTTTTTGCTTCTGCCACTCTCACCTGCCCCAGCAGTTCTCTCTCGCGGCTCGAGGCCTTGCCCTGCTCCTCCAGAGCTCTGGAGTACTTCACTGCCTGCTCCAGGTGCCGGTCCTTCAGCTTCCCCAGCTCTCGAGAGGCCGACTCCCAGTCCTGACGCAACCTTCACACCACAAATCATCCAGATAAAACATTTTCCCTTTAAAAGCATTTTGTATAAAACAATCAGCTGATAAGGAACAATTTTAACAACTGGATATCGAAGTTCAAACTTTGCATCACTGCCCATTTGACGCAGGAGCACTTTCATGGTTCAACTATTTTTCTTACCCATGAAGTTGGCCAACATCATTCAAGATTTTATTTTGAACTCATGTGCCCAATAGCATTGTGCAAACTCAAATCACTAAATGGTATATCTTCCGAGGTGCGTGGTACCTCTCCAGCTGCAGCCGGTGCTGACGCAGCTCCTGAGCTTTACGTTCGGCTCGGCTTCGCTCGTCCTCCGCCATGCGGCAGCGTTGAGAGAGGCGGCGCTCACACAGCCGACTGTTCCTCAGCTGTTCTCTCAGCTTACGCACCTCCAGGAGCAGAAACTGGGTCAGACCCTCCGGACCCTCCTCATCTGGGGGGGAGAGAGACAGGTGGAGGATACAGGTCAGGGGTGTCCAAACTGTTTTCACTGAGGGCCACTCACTAGAGGTGAGCTATATTGCCTTATCAGTAAAGTTACAAGTTAGCAAAACCAATCAAATAAATGATGCTTGATACTTAAATGCTTTAAAGTGGACCTATCATGCTATATTTGAAACATATATTGTAGGGCCATACCTATACAAAACATGTCTGTGAAGTTTTTTTTTCAAAATAACAAACAGATCACCCGTTGTAGCCATGCCTCATACTGCTCAAACCCCTCTTTTGAAGCCCTGTTAGAGAAACGCGGATCTTGGGTCCTTAGCTTGAAAAAAGAAGAAGAAGAGGAGGCGGAGCTAATGCCTGATCAGAATTCTACCAGAGATAAAGTTAAATTCTGTTGTGATAAAACGCCATCCTGTTCCAAACCACATCAAGGATTATTTCTGAAACAGTATGGAGCTCAAATGCTTTTTCTCTTGCAGGTTTATCACAAGGTGAGTTCTTTTTTTAATTTCCTGCTTTTTAAACACATGTGCTCTCCAGTACAGGTTAGCTCTGAGTGTTAGCGAGGCTTGCTAATGTAAACAAAGACGAGATTACATCCAAAACACGTCAGGCATTGTTTCTGATAGCAACTATCTGTGGGTCCGCCGCCAATATTACGTCAGATCGGCAGCAAATCTGTATCCGCTCGTTGTACCCCCGTTTTTAAAAGATTTGGGTACGGAGGAAAAGAGAGAGGGTTTTATTTTCTGACGCTGCGTGTGTTCCCCGACACATATGTATGTATAAAAGACATCACAAAGTGCATTTTGCATGATAGGTCCCCTTTAAGAAACACAACAGCCTACATCACAGCTTACCACAGGGTTTCATTTATTTTGTGAGCAGCTCATTCTTTAAAACAGAAGCTTCAGATTGATTATAAAAAGAGGAAATAGGAAGGGTAGATTTCAAGCTTGTTATGTAAATAAGTTATTGGGCTTTTTTCTTATCAACTAAGATATATTAGAAAATGTTTCCAACTTCAATTGACTGAATTTATTTGAAAAGTGGGCAGGGCTTATTAACACATGAATACTGTGTTGTTTATTTTTGTGTTACATATGTATTTAAGAAGTACTATATATTACAAGCACAAGTTTCAGTTGTGGGCCATATTTCATTATACTTTTTGAATTAACTGAGGGCCGTTTCAAAATGGGCCGCGGGCCGTAGTTTGGACACCCCTGATAGGGGATACGGGTTAATGTGTCGACTGCTTTTGGTTGATTGTTTTTGTCCGTCATTAAATCAAAAAATGAAGTCAAGAGTTATATCCCAGGGCAAATGTACGATAAAGGGTCTTGGAAATGTTCTGTGATTTATTGTCATGTTAAATCTCTGTTTCCTTCTTTCTTTGCTTTGCTATTGTGTCGTATTGTTTCGAATCGTATCGTTTTGTATAGAATCCTCTCACATGATAATGTGTATAGGCAAGGCAAGGCAAGTTTATTTATATAGCACCTTTCAACACAAGGCAATTCAAAGTGCTTTACAAAAAATGAAAGACATTAAGAAAATGGCATTTAAAATCAGTCATTAAAAAGAAAAGTTAATAAAATAAACATTAAAAGAAAAAATACATGGATCAAAGTTACAGTGCAGTTTAAGATATGAATAGTTCAATTAAACATTAAAAGAAAAAGTACATGGATAAAAGTTACAGTGCAGTCTAAGATATGAATAGTTCAATTAAAAGCAGCGGCAAAAAGAAAAGTCTTCAGCCTGGATTTAAAAGTAGTCAGAGTTGCAGCGGACCTGCAGGTTTCTGGGAGTTTGTTCCAGATGTTTGGAGCATAATAACTGAACGCTGCTTCTCCGTGTTTAGTTCTGACTCTGGGGACAGAAAGCTGACCAGTCCCTGAAGACCTGAGAGATCTGGATGGTTCATAATCTAGCAGGAGGTCAGAAATGTATTTTGGGCCTAAACCATTCAGTGCTTTATAAACCAACAGCAGTATTTTGAAATCTATTCTTTGACACACAGGAAGCCAGTGTAAAGACTTCAGAACAGGAGTGATGTGATCCACTTTCTTGGTGTTAGTGAGGACTCGAGCAGCGGCGTTCTGAATCAGCTGCAGCTTCCTAATAGATTTTTTAGTGAGACCTGCAAAGACACCATTACACTAGTCGAGTCTACTGAAGATAAAAGCATGGACAAGTTTTTCCAAATCCTGCTGTGACATTAGTCTTTTAATCGCATAGTAGCTATAATCGTATAGCATAATTTAGTTTCATATCGTATTAAACTGTATCGTATTGGTTTGTATTGTATCGCTGTGTATCGTTTCGCACCTTTAGCACCGTAACTCTTCGTATTGTATCTTATAATTTTTGTTTCCTATCATATCTTATCGTATCGTAACGTAACGTATTGGATCGTAGCTGAAACTAAGTAATGCTAGTAAGTGTTACATCACACTGTTGAACCCAGTTGGGAGAGGACCAGCCGAGGTGCAATTTGGTGGAAATAACCTGCAACCTAATTTACTCATAGAAAAATGTAATTGAACGTGATTTAGATCAAGGATATCCTTGCAGATAAGTGGCATGGGAACTCGGTGCATTGTATAAGTAAACAGCCACTTTATGGACCATGAGTGCCAAATACCCCAAAGCGTTTCATTATTTTTGTTGTTTAACATTCCCCAATCCTGAAGTTAATCTTCAAACCATTTTAAAGTGCTTTTCTCTCAGGTCTGTTTGCTGGCCATTTCTTTTTCAAATATAAAACTAGTGAACTCTTTTGTCCGAATGTTTCAGCTCTTAGTGTGTTTACTATGTGTGGATTAAGAGCCTTTTAACACATGTCACCATGCAGATACACAGGTCAGCAAACACAAGTGGGGCCAAGTCTTTATCTGAAAGTCAGATTTGAGTCTCAAGACTACTCTGAAGGCTTGGGACTGAAATGTTTTATACAATTGAATACAATTCAATGTAGTATTTCAGAATGAAACCACTAACACAGTAGTACCTTTTTTAAATTAGCAGCAGTCGTATTGTTTTTCAAAATGGTTAGTCTTGTTGTATTTCACTTTGTCACTTTGGATTTGGGGCTTTTCATTGTCAACAAATACACCGTAGCTTTTGACAAATAAAGCTTTTGAATTCTTGCTTTAAAGGTCCCTTATTATACTGTTTTTCATCAATATATTACAGGTCTCAGATACATCCAGAGCCTGTCTCTGATTGGCTGAAACACCAAACAGATCATTGCAGCATTACCCATAATCCCCTCTGTTTCAGCCCTGTTTCCAAAGTGCTGATTCTCTGTCTGTTACTTTAGATGAAAATAAGGAGCCCCTCCCCACGCCCCTCTGAGAGAGATTTGGTTACAGAGACCTCAATGGTGCTCTAGGAGGAGATTCAGATGATAAGGTGTGGGGGGGGGGGGGGGGGGGGGGGTTACCTTGGTTGGGGATTGGCTAATGGTTACACAAGACAAAACATCGTTATGACATCATAAAGTGGCCAAAATCTGATCAGCTCATTTTCAGACAGGTTTTTATAGAAATGGATCAGGACAAAAAGAGAGAGAATCTTTGTTCCTGAAACTTTCAGAGTCTCTTTTCACAGAGGGGACACATGTTGATGTAGAAGAGACATGAAGAAGAGGGGACACATGTTGATGAAGAAGAGACATGAAGAAGAGGGGACACATGTTGATGTAGAAGAGACATGGAGAAGAGGGGACACATGTTGATGTAGAAGAGACATGAAGAAGTGGGGACACATGTTGATGTAGAAGAGACATGAAGAAGAGGGGACACATGTTGATGTAAAAGAGACATGAAGAAGAGGGGACACATGTTGATGTAAAAGAGACATGAAGAAGAGGGGACACATGTTGATGTAGAAGAGACATGAAGAAGAGGGGACACATGTTGATGTAGAAGAGACATGAAGAAGAGGGGACACATGTTGATGTAGAAGAGACATGAAGAAGAGGGGACACATGTTGATGTAGAAGAGACATAAAGAAGAGGGTACACATGTTGATGTAGAAGATACATGAAGAAGAGGGGACACATGTTGATGTAGAAGAGACATAAAGAAGAGGGGACACATGTTGATGTAGAAGAGACATGAAGAAGAGGATTTTGTATAATAGGTGATCTTTAACTAGTATTTGGGTTGATTTGTATTCAGCCTGAAGGCAAACTCAAGTCTGTAGGCGGTGAGTTCACACCACTGCCAGTTGAGAGTAATCCCAGTTTACCCAGTATGAGGGAGCATCTCTGTGTGGGCTGCTGTCCGGTCAGCTGGGTGAACTGGTCCGGGTGGTAAAACTCCAGCGACTCCATGAAGGCCTGGAGACCTCGTGGGCCCTGACCTCGCAGGATGTCCAGCAAACGGCCTGAGAAAGGAGAGAGAAAGGTGTGGGAAAAAGTGGATTTAATCACCATCCCAGGCACAATGTAAACAGCATTCTTGTTCCTGTAAACTATCAAAGATGAAGCCACAAAAATGCTCCCTCTTTGATGCGAGTGTAAATCACACCGTGGTTAGCATAGCTGTTTCAAACATGATGAATGATTATGTGAGCAGTGAAACAGTGATAGCAACTTGTCTTCATCCCGTCTTTCCTTGAGACATCTGCCCTTATCTTCTTTCACTCCCCGTTCTGTCTGCCTCACACTCTCCTTTCATCGTTCTCTGTTTGTTTCTCACACAGCTACATTTATCTGAACCCACCTGTTCCCGCCCTGACAACCTGCTGGACAAATGTTTATTTTTGGGAAGTTTTACAAAAGAAGTATACTGCATGTACTGTTCTGCGGATTATATTATTTCTTACAGGCAGAAATTGTATTTATCCCCATAAAGACCATAATGTCCCACTGTTTGCTTCCCAGCTCTATTCTACGTTATGTGTCTGAAATGCAAGAAATTCACATCATTTTTTGTTCTGATGATCTTCATGTTTGTGTAATTATTTGTCTTCTTAGTCAAGAGGACTATCTTAACATCCATTCACTCCTTGATTATGGGCCTAAACTCTTAAAGATGTCCCGTTATCGTTCTTGGGGTTTTCCCTTTCCTGTAGTGTGTTATAAAGATTTCTGTGCATGTAAATGGTCGGCAAAGGCTAAAATCCCTGTGTTTCCTCAGTAACAGTAACATAGTGACATCACTATGTAACACTCTGCTTCTATTGGCTAGTGCTCCAACACATTGTACATGATAGGCTAAGGCAGGGGTGTCAAACTCAAGGCCCGGGGGCCAAATCCGGCCCGTGACTTCACTTCATGTGGCCCCACAAGAGCTTGCAAAAAATATAATACGTTTATTATACGGTTACATGCCGATTTACAGAAGCACGTTGCCCATAAACTACATGTCCCACAATGCATCTCAAATTTGTATTTTTTTCTCCAAATTTAACTTTTTTTTCTTCAAAATGTTACTTTCTTTTTTTTTATTCTGACTTTTTTTCCAGAATTTAGCTTTTCTCTTTAAATCATTTTGTGACATTCTCATTTAAGAGACTTGCAATTATTTGCCCTAGACTTCTGCTTTCAGACGTAGTTAATTATGAAGTTATTACCCTATCCGATAATAATCCAATGCAGAGGCAATAATGGAATATAATACATTATTTTATATATTAAACATTTATATATGTATTTTTATATAGTCTTGAAGTTACAACCGGCCCTTTGAGTGCAACCATAATGCGAATGTAGCCCGCGATGAAATTGAGTTTGACACCATGGCCTAAGGTGTGAGATATCTCTAAGTGGTTAACCAATCACAACAGAGCTGGCCAGCTATCCAATCAGAGCAGACTGGACTCTGGTTTCAGACGGAGGGTGAAAAGAGGTGCTGCAGCACATGCAGTATGAGAAAAATAAAGAGCTTTGGAACATTAAAGCATGGAGACATGTAGAGAGACTACATACACCAATGAACCTAAAAAAGGGCATAATAGGGCCCCTTTAAATGGATTTCTCTCGTCGTACCGGCCTTGCTGATGCGCAGAGGGTACTGAGTGGAGTTGAGCACCTCGTCTTCGTCCTGCTCGTCGATGACTTTGCACTGCCGCAGGTACGGGGTGAGTTTGGCAGGGTGAAGGATGCGGGTCAGTTTGTGCCGAACCCCCTCCACTCGATCCCAAAGCTCCTCACAGCGCTCCTCCGACCAGGGGGGGAGCGATCGAACCTCCTCCTGAGCCACATCTTCCTCCTCCTCCTCCTCCTCCGCCCAATCTGTGACACCTGCAAGGCAAGTTTATTTATATACAGGGTATATGCAGGAATCCTGAAGTCAAATGTAAAACCTTTTAAGGCCTTTTTTAAGACCCTTTCCATACATTTTAAGACCTCATCGCCACTTTGAGTTTTAACCGGTTACCTTGGCGACACACTTTACCTCACATTGACTATACACAGTATTGATTGTCCTTCCTCCTTATCTTCCAACCATTTGGACGCAGACTTGCATTTCCCCATAACGATGTTGTTTAACAACCGGCGTAAACGGGCCTTCGCGCTATCAAGCAGTGAGCGTGCGATGTCCTGTTCAGATGACGTCAAACCCAACGGGATGCCATAAATAAACTACACAGAATCACACTACACACTTACGCCATGATTACATTCAGGCAGACTGTAGAATACAACCTCTTTGGACAATTTATGTACTTATTGAAAACAAGCTACAAAATGTAATACCTTGGGAAATGCCGTTTAATACTTTTTAATAGCCTTCATTTTCGCTAAATTGATTTATCAACTTTTAATACTTTTTAAGACCCCGCGGACCCCCTGATATAGCACCTTTCAACACAAGGCAATTCAGAGTGCTTTACAAAAACAAAAGACATTAATAGCATTAGGAAACATATTATAAAATTGCATTTAAAAACACATGAATAACAAAGGTACATGAATAAAAGTGACAGTGCAGTGTGAGATACACACATCTGAAATGTACAGGACACTGACAATTAACAGGACGTTCGAGAGGGGAAGACTTTCTGAATAAAAGAAAGAAAGATCTTGCAATGATAATGTGATTTCAGAAATGTTTCGCCATTACATGTCACTTGTTAGAAGCTTTTATCCAAAGCGATTTACATACTCAATACTGTGGATAATCCCCACAGGAGCAATCTCAGGGACACAACGACATGCTGACTGCAATGGGGTTTGAACCTGTGACCCCCTGATCCCAACACCAACGCACTAGCCCACTGCGCCACATGCCGCCATGAATTTAAGGATATCTCATGTCGAGTCGCAGTCTAAAGATTTCTTCCTCATGAAGAGATTGTTTTTCTCTGGCAAAGGGATTCTTTTTGTTATCATTTTTTGGGACAGACAAAAAATACAAATAAAGGAAAGGAGGATAAAAACACTAAATAAATAAAAACAATTATCAATTATAGAAAGAAAATACTCATAAATAAATAAAGGGATAAATATATAATAAAACAACCCGTCGCCTGTCTGATACTCACAAGACACAAAAACACACAGAACATATTTTGAATTCCTTATAATCCCACTCTTCGTTATAGCTTATTTTGTCCCATTTCATGTTGTGTTGTGTCTGAAGCTTATCTGCTGCTCTCAGCCAATAAGAATGAGTCATTACTTTACTGCCTTAGAAGCAAACAGATGACACACCTCTTGGGAAATTCCTCTGAATAGCAATTTGTTGCAAGATTATCCTCTTTTTCAAACATTACATGTCTTTATAATAGAAGCCGTTTACGAGGATTACTGGGTTTACGTGCTGCATTGTGAGATGGAGCTCATTACTGGAAATGTTCCAAGGAATGTCGACAAATTCCTACAACAGAAAAGTCTGATGGATGAAGATTTAAGCTGAAGCCTGTAGAGCAGAAATGGTGGTAAATCTCACATAAGGAGGACACCATGATAAGCTTGAAGGTTCCCCATTATACTGTTTTTCATCAATATATTACAGCTCTCAGATATACACAGAACATGTCTCTGATTGGCTGAAACACCAAACAGATCATTGCAGCATTACCCATAATCCTCTCTGTTTCAGCCCTGTTTCCAAAGTGCTGATTCTCTGTCTGTTACTTTAGATGAAAATAAGGAGCCCCTCCCCACGCCCCTCTGAGAGACATTTGGTTACAAAGAACACAATGGTGCTCTAGGAGGAGATTCAGGTGATAAGGTGGGGGGGGGGGGGGGGGGGGGTACCTTGGTTGGTGATTGGCTAATGGTTACACACAGTGCTTGAATTGGAATGAAAAAGGTGCCAGTACTCTAAAATCAGCAACTTTTTCAAGTCAATTTTATATATACAGCCCACAAACAAGAATTTGGCTACTATAATGCTGGTGGGTTTGTCTCTTTACTACTGTATATTTTAGAAAGGTTCACTGTACTTAACATTTTTTATGATAGGCAGCGGATATGGCTAAAGCTCAGTAAGGTCAATATTAACTGAAAATATAGCAATCAAAGTCTAGATCTTCTGCTGAAGACACATGAAGCAGAGACCTTTCAGGTGAGAGCCCCTCTGGTGGTGTTCAACATTAATGACAAGGAAACAAAGCTCTGGTCAGAAGCATTTTTTATAAAAAGCTTTAACAAAATTAAGTATTTCTGTTCATTTTGAATGCAATCTAACTTTCCAACTCAGAAAACGAAAAACGAAAAAGTGCCAAAAGTCTTCTCACATGGCTGAGCTGCTTTGCAATATACTTCACCACTGAAGAATACAAATATGTATAAAGTAAACTATGATGCAATCTAACTTTCCAACTCAGAAAAATGATAAAGAGCATGAACAAAGAACATGTAAAAACAAATGCAAAATTTGCACAATCTAAAATGAGAAACTGTAACTGCAAGTAACAAAGTCTGAGCCATGGTAAAGAGTTACATTGAACACCAAGCTGATCAGATAACTCCCTGGTTGGTCTGAAGTCCTTCTATCTCCAGGATCTGTACAAATCGGCACATTATGCCAAAAGTCTTCTCACTGGGTGAGCTGCTTTGCAATATACTTCACATTGTTAGAAAAGGCTCCAGACGGCCTTGGGGACATCAGTATCAGGGGCTGGAGCTGGACAGGCTCTTTCATCAGCACTTCTCCTTCCCTTTGCCAGCCAGGACCTCACATACTGTTCCGGATTGAACTGTCCTAGTGATGGTCCATTACATTTAATGAAAACCAGGCTGGACAGTCGGCTGACAGAGAGAGCATTCCTTTTTGCAGTAAGGATATCGTTCATGCAGCTGAATGCCCGCTCACACTCACTAGTGGAGACAGCGATGGTTCGGACTGCTTTCAGTAGAGGCTCCATGGCAGCAGGTGTACGGGATGCCCTGGTTTCCTTGTATTCGCGAAAGCCCTGAACAGTCTCTCTTCTGTCCACTTTCAGCACTTTGCACAAACGTAGCACCTCTACGTCCCCATACTGTACGTCTAACTCCTCTTCAGGCCAACTTCCAGGATGGATAACTTTCATGTCCTGGATTAGCTGATTGTCCCGGGCCTCCCGGCCATGTAATGGGATTTCTCTTGTGCTGACATGAGAGGAGGTTGTGGAAGTCATTCTGTGTCTCAGATTCTCTACCATACTGCGGAAAAAACAGACCTGCATGAATCTGTACAAGCCTGCCATTCTCACGCAGGGCAACACCCTTGAAGGACTTCTCAGCTAGAGCTGTATGAACTGTAGTCATGTGTGGGCCAGGCATGGTGACCATGGATTCAAAAACTCGTATTTCTCGAGTTAAGAGCCTATCTGCTGTAGGCAGTGTCATCTCTCTTTTTTGGAGTTGCCGAGAGAGGTCGCTGAGCTCTGTGAGCGCATCGTACATCAGTCCCAGATTGCTGACAAACGTTGCAGATGTGAGCACATCATCCAGGCCCTTGTACTTTGCTCTGTCTCTGGAATCCCTGCTCGTGTCGTTTGCAGCATTTGTGAAGTGATCATGAAGCACTCGGTAGTTTTCCCAGACTGCTCTGACGCTCCTTTCACTTGAAGCCACCCAGCGGATGGACAAAACACGCCCTATCACCAGGAGACGCTGTCCGACTGCTTGCGCACACTGCGCTAACTGCCTCTGATTTTTGGGGGAGGCATGGAACAAGGAATAGAGTTTGTCAAAAAGATCTGGAAATGATTGAGCCCTGAGACCTCCTTGACCACATCCCCAACTGCCAGCTCTAGACGATGATTGGAGCAGTGCCACACAAACAGGCTTGGGAATTTACTACACAACTGGGTAGCAACGCCTGTTCTCTTCCCTAGCATGACTGAAAGCCCCATCACATGCAAAAGAAACGAAACACTGACCTAAAAAGTCCTCGTTAAAATCTCTTCCAAGACACTCCATTAACGCCTTTGTGATGTCATCAGCCGTTGTTCCATCCAACTCGATCAGCTCCCAAAAAAACGTTTCGGGCTCAGCATCAGCTAATGCTGAGCGTAGACACACAACAAGCACCGTTTTACCACTAATAGTGGTAGATTCATCGACCAAAACACAGAGTTTTCTTTGGTTTTCTGTAATGTCTTTTGCCATTTTTTTCTTCAGCTCATTTCGCCACAGGTTTTATTGGAGTGCAAAACCCTGCCCACGTTCAGCCCATTCAGTTTCTGTACATTCAAATCAATTGGCATGTCTGTGAATGGCCGGCTATGTTTGCCAATTTTATATGCCGTTCGAAAAACTCTGATAGTGGTGTCTAAGTCAGATTTATGCATAGACTGCACTTGATGTTGAATAGTTTCACGTGAAGCAGATGTAAGGATGTCAGCAGCTTTTACATGGGCTTGTGATTCTTTATGTTCTTTGATTTTTTTTCTCAGGCTAGCTTGTTGTTTGCCCTTGTCAACACCGAAATGAGACACTGCACACTCACCCCATTCAGTTGACAGTTTCAGTCCTTGTCCAGTGTGTATTCCCAAAGATTTGACATCTCTGCATATCCGACATCCTAGCTTCTTATCTTTAAGAAGGAGCCATGCATTGGTCTTGCAAAAATATTGCACCTGGTCCGTTGTCCAGCAGTCAGGTGCATCGCTTTGCCCGGTGTTGGTGGTGGCAGTTGCGCCAGCAGCAGCTAACGTTAGAGGCTCTGGAGGAGGCTGCGGAGCTAGTGCTAATGCTAATGCACTAGAACTTGGAGCAGGAGGATCAACCAAAGAAAGCTCCCCATCAGACACAATTTCCAACACAGGCACAGCATTCTCTGTATTTCAAGTTTCTTCCGGCGACAA